GAAAGAGGAGAAAAGGAAAAAGGAAAAACCCTACTCAGAAGATAGGCTATGGATGTTTTATGCATCATTCATTTCGTTGATTCAAGTTTTTAATTTGAGCTGAGATGTGATTTTATGTGAGAACTTTTTACTGTAGTCGAAAAAGTTGTTGGAGAAATTTGAGTGTAGAGGGTAAAAAGAAAATAAAAACAAGATAAGGTTTGAGGCGTATAGGAATACTTTCCTTTAAGGTTTTATTTGTTCTCACTTCTCAAAGTTTACTAATGAGTTTTAATGGCAAATTACCTCCAAGATACAACAAACCCTTGAACACAATATCTAGCAATAATATTGAGTTTCAGAACATGAATAAAGTCTATAAATTTTTTGGAGAATTAATAAAGACAGAGGTGTCATTTCATGAATGAATGCATCATCTTTAAACATTACAACCATTCACATAAAGGTACCTTTCAATGTAAATGTATCTTTTCATGGATTAATACACCTATTACAATAGTTATATCTATTGCTAATTGGTGTTAAGATATGTATGAAAACATATCACCAATGGATGTAATGGTTCGAACGTTTTAGATCACATAAACTCATGAAAACATTATTTTCTGCATAATTTCCGTTGCAGCGGATGTTTTCCCGCTGCAGCCGTAAACAAACCCGAGGCATGCAAACATTTCGGCTGCAGCCGGTTTGGCCAAATCAAAGTAATTTTTTCCATTGTAGCGTTTTGAAGTCCTTTTAACACGAGTTTTCATGTTTTAATACTCAAACAACTTGTGATCTTGATCAAGACATATTACAATCTCTCTAACAATCCCCCACTAGATTGTAATATTTCTCCAGAATTAACAGCGATAAACACACACATACATGAAGGTATCTTTCGATTTTAACCTCCAATTAGTGACTATACTTCAAAGTATTCACAAGACAACAGTGTGCTTTGCATTAAACTTTGTCTCTTGAGCAAATACCAGAATGTATTATCCCAGACTTAAAATATATTCCAATCGTTTAGCACTATTCCGACCTTGTGCTCTATCTTGGATTCATGAACATTTACAAGACTAAACCACGGTCTTGTTAGGAACGACACCATTCCTTATGTTCATTTAGGTGAATTTTCGAATTATATCTCTAGCTACTATGAAACTCGAACTCCATTAAGAGTATAAACTCAACCTCAACCACGTAGCTATACTACACTGACATCTTGGAAGGGACTAATTAAATTTCAGTGTTAATCCAGTCACATAACAATGACTTGTTCTTACTCATTTAACTATGGAATATCGGTACAATGTTGGTTTCCGAATCGAATTCGGATGCGGAAGCGTGGGGATAGCGGATCAAGTATAACAAAAATTTTTATAAAACCTTTGAGATACTCTATAGATTATATTAATTTATGCATGAATCAATTAATCACATTAATTCATTTATTAAGAACTCAATTACGAATAATACCTGGCGGCCGATTAGGATGATAACTTGAGTTCTTTGACCTCGAACAATCCTTGCTCCAAAGCCTTGTGTTTAGAAAACCAATGTCTTCCACGTCAATTCCTAGAATCCACGAAGACGTGTGTGTGGGCACACCTAGGACAAAACAGGTTAGAATAAACACTCAAATTTCCACTAACACCAACGCATGCGTGATGTAAAATTTATGGAGAAAAATATTTTTCCTCTCACTCTATGGAGAATTTCAGCCACCTTTTAAAAATTAGGTCAAAAATTGTGTCTCACAATTTTCTATCATTCTCTTATTTATAGAGTAGAAGTCAAACTTCTAAAAGGAATCCAATCTTTATCTCCAAGATAAAGCTTGTTAATGATGTCCTATTTGAATTTGGAACAAAATCTCCTCTTATACTTTATCCATTATGGCCGGCCATTCATTGGGGATTTTATCCCTATGTAGGCGCCAATATCAGATAGGGAAGGAAGAGAAAATCATCATTTATCATGCAGTCTAATTTTGATTCAAATTCAAATTCAAATTTAAGTACATGCAAAGCGCTCAGAAATTCGTAAAAACTGTCAAAAAGAATTTTGGTTATCCGGAGAAGCTGTTGTGCCCTTGCAAAAAATGTCGAAACTTAAGTCATCAAAGTGGTAACATTGTTTATGAACACTTGGTAATCAATGGTAATGATCCAACATACACTACTTGGTTTCATCATGGGGAAGAAGTAAACACAAATGATAAGTTGGAAAACGTTGACATGAATGACATATATGAGTTATATAAGGCTGCCTATGCCGATGAGAATGATTATATAGAACAATCGCAAGAACATAGGTTAGAGGAGTTAAATGAAAAAATGAATGATTGGTTAGAACCATTATATCCTGATTGTTCAAAATACAACAAGTTGTCTGCCGTTATTGCCTTATTCAAACATAAGACCATGAATGGATGGTCTGATTGTAGTTTTGACGGATTGCTAGAGTTATTGCATGACATGTTACCCGAACCTGATGTGTTGATAAGGTCGACGTATAAAGTACAAAAGTTTATGAGAGAATTTCATCTAGGGTATGAAAAGATTCATGCTTGCCGTAACGATTGTTGTTTGTTTAGAAAGGATAAGGCAGATCTTGATAAATGTCTAAAGTGTCATGCTTCAAGCTGGAAGGTTGAAAAACATACCAAAAAAGCTAAAGTTGGTGTTTCTGCTAAAGTCTTGAGATATCTTCCAATAATTCCTAGGTTCAAGGCTATGTTCAAGAGTGAAAAGATGGCTCAAGATTTAAGGTGGCATTCCAATAATACAAGGGATGATAGAAAGATGCAGCACCCGGTTGACTCTCCAGCATGGCAACTAATGAATGAGAAGTGGCCTACGTTTGCAAATGAACCACGCAATCTTAGACTTGGATTGTCCACAGATGGATTCAATCCATTTGGTAATTTAAGCTCAACTTATAGCTGTTGGCCAGTGATGCTTGTGATATACAACTTGCCACCATTTTTGTGCATGAAAAAGGAAAACATCATGCTAACGTTGTTAATCCCAGGGTCTAAACAACTTGACAATGATATTGACATTTACCTACAACCTCTCATAGAAGATTTGCAAGAGTTGTGGAACAATGGAGTCAATGTTTTTGATTCACTTGACAAAGAGGTTTTCAATTTAAGGGCAATTTTAATGTGGACAATAAATGATTTTCCAGCCTATGAAAATCTTAGTGGTTGCTATACAAAAGGTAGATTAGCGTGTCCTTTATGTGTTCATAATACTCGAGCAATGTGGTTGCCCTTTAGTAGGAAGTTTGTATTCATGGGTCGTAGGAGATTTCTTTCACCAAGTCATCCATTCCGAACGAAAAAGTATTGGTTCGATGGAAAGGTAGAAAAATGAAGTAAACCAAGAATAATGACCGGTAGAAGAATGTATGAACAACTTAAAGACTTTGTGAATGATTGGGGGAAAGTTAATATGGATATTTTTGAGAATGAAGTTATGAAAGGGCATGGGAGAGGAGGTAAAAAAGTTGTTAAGAAAGTCCGTCATAAACGCAAGAGAGTAGAGGTGAGGGATGTGGATATTTTGGAGTGTAGAGGGTGAAAAGAAAACAGAAACAAGATAAGGTTTGAGTCGTATAAAAATAATTTCCTTTAAGGTTTTATTTGCCCTCACTTCTCAAAGTTTGCTAATGAGTTTTAATGACAAATTACCCCCAACATACAACAAACCCCTGAACACAATATCTAGCAATAATATTGAGTTCGAGAACATGAATAAAGTCTGTAAATTTTCTGGAGATTTAATAAAGACAGAGGTGTCATTTCATAAATGAATGCATCCTCTTTAAACATTAAACCATTCACATAAAAGTACCTTTCAATGTAAATGTATTTTTTCATGGATTAATACACCTATTACAATAGTTATATCTATTGCTAATTGGTGTTAAGATATGTATAAAAACATATCACTAATGGATGTAATGATTCGAAACGTTTTAGATCACATAAACTCATGAAAACATTATTTTCTGCATAATTTCCGCTGCAGCGGATGTTTTCCCGCTGCAGCCGCAAACAAACCCGAGGCATGCAAACATTTTGACTGCAGCCAAAATATTTCGGCGGCAACCGGTTTGGCCGAATTAAAGCAATTTTTTCCGTTGTAGCGTTTTGAAGTCCCTTTATCATGAATTTTCATGTTTTAATACTCAAACAACTTGTGATCTTGATCAAGACATATTACAATCTCTCTAACAAAAGTTAGATGTGACTTTTTATGAGAACTTTTAACTATAATAAAATTAAAATTAAAAACTCAAATCGATAAAATTAACTAGAACTTAATCTTTATAATTTAAATTATGCTCTGCTAGTTTGCCCGATGGCAAAAAAAAAAAAAGTGAGATTTTTTGTGCTTATTATAGAAGTCGATCCACCCAAATGAAAGGCCCATAATCTGAAAAGTTGGGCCGACCAGCCGTGGAAAGATGCAGGGATTGTTCTTTTGTCTAAAAAATTTAAAAAAATATAACTCGAATTTTAATTTTATTTAAGTTTAATTTTTTTAAGTTTTAATTTTATTTAATTTTACTCAATTTTATTTAATTTATAATTTTAACTCAAATTATAACTCAAATTTAACTCAAAAATTACACTCAAATTACCCGCACTTCCACGAGAATACCAAAAATAAACGACCGTGAACCAAGTAGACAACTCACCCGAGACATGCGCTTCAATACCAATCCCTGACACACCGGGATCATTTTCAAAAGCTCCTCTTTCTCTCTCCTTCCCACTTATTTAAACAATTAATATAGAGCTCAGATCCACTGTTGCAATCACAACATGTTCGACCACCTAACCAATAAAACACGACCACGTCACTAAAAGATTCTTGTATACATGACGTGGCGAATCTTTATTGGACAGTCCACGGGAAAACGGTAATGCTAAAAAGTCTAGAATTTTCAATATTCTATAGAAAAATATCTATTCTTCAATAAAAAAAGAAGAAAACGAAAAGAAAAATCTGATACTCATTAATCAAAGCTTAGCTTTCACAGCAGAAAATCATCAAACACTTGCGACGGAGACAGTAGTGGAGAGAGAGAGAGAGAGAGAGAGAGATCTGAAAGGCTTCTCTCTACTTTTGTCCTCCACTGATTTCTAGAGAGAAAAAAAAACTGAGTTCTGGAAAGAGAAACAAAGCGGAAATGGCGAACGGTGGAGGTGGCGGTTATGGCGATGCTAGCCAGAAGATAGACTACGTCTTCAAGGTCGTGTTGATAGGAGACTCGGCGGTCGGAAAATCTCAGATTCTGGCGAGGTTCGCGAGGAACGAGTTCAGTTTAGACTCGAAAGCCACAATCGGCGTCGAGTTCCAGACGAGGACTCTCGTCATCCAGCACAAGAGCGTCAAGGCTCAGATCTGGGACACTGCTGGCCAAGAGAGGTAATCTCGATCTCTTCGGTGCTTGTTGCTTAATTTTTTTGTTTGGTGATTGTTTTTGTTAAATCGTTTTCGGAATTTCGGTTTTTGCTACTTTTGGGATTGGATCTTTTTGGTTGTTTTGGTTGTTATAGGCTTTTTTGATGCTTCACTGTTATTGCAGTAAACGTACTTCGTCGTTTTGCCTAAAATGGAAATGTTGGATTAGATAATTGAACGACATTTTAGCGCTCGAAATGTTGCGGTTTCTCCTATGATTAGTGCAAAAATTGTGTGGTAATGTGGTTTTTCTAGTTGCGACGCTGTCTGGACATAGTGCCGATAATCCAGTGTTGTTAAAATCGCTTTTTTTTCCTTTTTCCTTTTAGTCGTTTGTTTGGTTATGATTCTTTCTGGATGATTTACACTGTATGAAACAGCATCCTGAATAATTAGTCTTTTTCCTACTTTAACTCTGTTCCTAATTTCTAGCATTGTTGGGATATGTATCAACAGTGAGTGCGTTGGGCTTATATCAAATGGAGGAATACCAATTTTGTAAAGGTGGTATTCAATTATACCATTTCTATAGAAAATTTAAGCCTGGTTTACATGTGAAAGTGTTACCAGTTAATTACTAGTCTTTAAAAGTGGTGCCCAGCCAAAATAACAAAGGAACTAATTAGAATTTTTTTACTAGAGGGTTAAAAATAATATAAATACAAGGTTTGCGTTTGATCCAGATGTTGATGCCAACCATGATCGTAGATGTATATATTAATGTCCATTTTTTGTGTCCATATGTGTTGACACTTGTGATGGATGAAGACATGCTACATTTATAATTGTGATTTAGTCATCTTCATCTTTTTAATCGAGATTATAAATGCCCTTGCCTCGACAGATTTTAATTATCTGAGAATTTTGTTCTGTTCACTGTTCACTTGTTCTAGTATTCCTCAGGATTTTATTGTAGAAAGAGTGTTGGATCTTGATTTCATGAGATTATGGTAAATTTTTCAATATGACTTTGGTCTCTATTTAGATCAGATTAATTGGACTTGAATGAGTAATTTCAGTTTTTAATGATAAGAAGTATAAAAACCTTACTCGCTGTTAGATCTTCTTTTAGAACTTTAAGATATAATAGTATGCTTCTAACCAGTAACATGTTTTGTAAAGACGTTGAGATGTTATTGAGAAAGTTGGGTCTATGAAACGTGCATGTCATGAAGATAATTGACTGTGGAGACTCTTCTCACCTGTCCTTTTTGTTTGGTCAAGTTTGCCATCTTGATGCATTTTTGGGGAATTCCCTTTTGCCACTATTTCGTGTTCTCAGAAAGTTAAAAGTTTCCATCTCAAAGTATTGCCAACTTAAAGAATGTTCCGTTTTCTGCCAACAGTGTTAGGTATGATTACCATTCTAACTCTCTTGATTTTGATGTTTGAGCAGATACAGAGCAGTGACAAGTGCATACTACAGGGGTGCTGTTGGCGCAATGCTGGTTTACGACATAACCAAACGCCAGACCTTTGATCACATTCCGCGTTGGCTTGAAGAGCTACGTAACCATGCGGACAAGAACATAGTCATCATTCTGATTGGAAACAAAACTGATCTGGAGGACCAGCGTGCAGTTCCTACCGAAGACGCCAAAGAATTTGCACAGAAAGAGGAACTTTTCTTCTTGGAGACTTCAGCACTGCAATCAACTAACGTCGAGAATGCCTTCTTGACCGTGCTGACCGAGATCTTTAACATTGTGAACAAGAAGAACCTAGCTGCTGATGAAAACCAAGGAAATGGTAATCCTGCATCGCTTTCTGGCAAGAAGATCCTTGTCCCAGGTCCTGCGCAGGTTATCCCGGAGAAGAAAATGTGCTGTAAATCATCGTGATTGAGTCTCATTTAAGTAGGGGGTTTCTCCTCAATATAGGGTTTCATCTTTGCATTCTTAGTAGCAATTTTTTCGAAGGGTGGTGCATTTTTACTTTGTATATCTTTACGTTTGGTTTAGCTTTAGTTTGCGTTGGCAGCTGAACCAGTAGCACGTTATGTGATATGGGGAGGAAAAAGAAAAAAAAAACTAAAGATGAAGCTGAGATGCGGATTTTGCATGTCAGTAGTCTGTTGTGAATTCTACATTTTTTTTCCTATTTGGTTTCTCATTATAATAAATTTCGTTGAGTGATTTCACAAAATGTTAAAAGATGTACATCCTTCTTTCTGTGATAAAACAAGTATGGGATGGTACCCGTTCCATATGATCAACTGAACGTGAAATGACTAATCCTTTTTTTTTTTTAAAGGGTACTATACATGCACCAATTTCTTGACCAAGAAGTTGCAAGATTCCTTTTTCAAGCCCACAATAAATAGAGGGAAAAAAATGAACTGAAAAATAAATAAATATTGTCTTTGCAATAGTTTAAAATAGATGGGAATCTGTCTCAGCATCAGCGCACCCAAATACAAATATTTGACCTAGAAATGCTTGTGCTTGATAAAAATCCCTCCCCTCCCGATATCAATTTTCAGACTTACCCATGTCATTTTTCCCTTCCAGTTTCTTGTTGCGTTTCAGGAAGATCTTGGTGGAGAATTTTCCGATTGATTTCGGGGGGAGAGAGAAGATATCATGTATCCTATGAAAAATAATCCAATTTCTCATGACTTCAAACTTAATGGAAGACAAAATCGAAGTCTTCGGAGTCAATTAAATTAACATACAACGAGTACAACAAGAAAATCTACGATGTATCAAAATTGTAGCTTAATTTATCCATCAATCTTCATACTTTCTTTGTCTGTATCATTTATGTCCTTTTCTTCATCTGCTTCCGGTTTTGAAGGCTCATCGACTTCTTTAACTGAGGAACCCTTTTCTGTTTCTATACGCACTACAAGCCTTTCTAAAAGTTCTTCGCAGTCAATAGCAGTGACCATTATCGTCAAGCTCGCTTTACCTTTCCAGCATCCTATGGCAATTGTTGATTCATCCACTTGGATAGGATTTGATGACGCTTCGCCATCTGCAGAAAACGCACTTGTTTAGATAAACGTAAAAAAGGCGCTACAGTTATTTATGACAGCATGATCCTACTTACCTTTTCGCAAAACGACCACACAGCATCCCTGCATTAAGTCTGATGCTTTCTTGCCAAATTCGGAATCAACAAAGTCAGCATATTTGATGGATTTGTACTGCAAAAGATGCTTGAAATCTACTGGGAATGCATGTAGGATCTGCTTTGTAATGTATGGAAGAATAACTGGCAATCCTTCGGATGATATCCGGAAGGAACAAGGTGCAGAACTTCCTTCTCTTGATGTTTGTCTCTCCTGTATATTATTATTAAGATCAGAAATCATCCGTAGATTTAGGGAAACTGTTGGGAACCTAGCTCAGAAAATCAGCCAAACACCAATACCCCACACACACACACCAGAAACAATAAGAAAATGAGAGTAATTGGAGGAAATTTTATTAATCCAATCAGTCAAGAACACCAAATTACACTGAAATATAAAGGATGGATCGAAGATTTCGAGCTCTCCGGCACTCCCAGCCGTTCCGGCAACACACCCAACACTCGGAAGATGAAAATACTCACTGCCCAAACCTACTGCCCTTCCCCCATTCAAATTACTCCCAGATTAGCCCTCTTGCCACGTCAGCCCATCCTAGCCACTTTCAATATTTTCCCTTAGGCCCCTAACTCTGTGTTTTCTACCTGTTTTGCCCCTCCTAGTGTAAACTTGCTTCAGTAAGTGTATGTGAGCAGCCTTCGGAAGCGAGAGACAGTAAGCGACATTGCCAATCTTCTCAGCGACCTCAAAGGGACCATAGTAGTGGGGTGCCAACTTCTCGTTGAGCTTCTTGGCCAAGGATTTCAGCCGGTAGGGCATAAGCTTGAGAAGAACAAGGTCGCCCGGCGCGAAGTGCACATCGCGGCGGTGAGCATTGGCAAACTTTTTCATGGTTTGCCGGGCCCTCTCCAATTGCTCCTTGAGCTCATCCAACATGGAGTTACGAAGCTGCATCTGCTTGTCGACTTCAACATCCAAGGAAGGAGTATCTTGGAACCGGTATAACACCGGGGGGTCCCGGCCATAGACAACGCGAAAAGGGGTATACTTAGTAGAAGCATTGTATGTGGTATTGAACCAATACTCCGCCCATGGAAGGAACTTCAGCCACAATTTCGGTTTCGTGCCAACAAAGCACCTCAAATAAGTCTCCAGACAACGGTTCATCACCTCAGTCTGGCCATCAGATTCAGGATGATAGGCGGAGCTAGTGTGCAGCTTGGTCCCTTGGAGCTTGAATAGCTCCCGCCAAAATGTACTCATGAATATGGGGTCACGGTCACTAACAATCGATCGAGGAACCCCATGAAGCCGCACAATCTCTCAGACGAACAATTCGGCCACCGATTTCGCTGAGAACAGATGTGTGAAGGCACAGAAATGGGCATACTTGGATAATCTATCAACCACTACAAAATAGTATCCCGGCCCTCCGACTTAGGCAGCCCGCCGATGAAGTCTATCGAGATGTCCACCCAAATTTGGTTTGGGATCGGACGAGGTTGCAAGAGGCCCACGGGGGACAACGCTTCACTCTTGGCACTTTGGCACGTCACACATTGGGCTACATAATCGCGAATCTCCTCCTTCATTCCTGGCCAAAATAGGTTACTTGCCATCCGTTTGTAAGTGCGGAAATACCCCAAATGGCCGCCAAACACCGAATCATGGAACTCATGCAGTAAACGAGGGATCCAAGGGGATGCTTTTGGCAACACTACCCTTTCCTTGTAGAGCAACAACCCTTCCTTCAAACGAAACCCCTCTCACACCATTTCCCCGTCTTGCAACTTGGCGATCACCCCCAAGCACCACTCATCCGCCCGCTGCCCCCTACTTCACATCCTCCAAAGCCACCAAATGGGCACGAAAATGGCCGCTAGGTCCAAGGTTGGCTCCTCTCCCCTCCTTGATAGTGCATCCGCCACCCTATTGGCTGCTCCTGGTTTAAATTGGACCTCAAAGTCATAGCCCAAAAGCTTCGTAATCCAATGTAATTGTTCCGGTGGAAGCATCCTTTGATCCATCTGCAATCGAAGACTTTGTTGGTCGGAACGAACCACAAAGTGGCGTCCCAACAAGTAATGGCGCCACTTTTGGATGGCAAACACCACCGCCATTAACTCCCGCTCATAAACCGATTTCACCCGGCTTGCCTCGGCGAGTGCCTTACTAAAGAAAGCGATTGGTTTGCCTTCTTGCATGAGCACTACCCCAAGACCAGCCCCTGACGTGTCTGTTTCCACTACAAAAGGCTTGGTGAAATCGGGCATAGCCAATACCGGAAGGGTAGTCATAGCCTCCTTAAGGACCACAAAGGCTTGCGCCCGCCGCTTCTCCCCATTCGAAGCCTCCTTTCTTGAGCAAATTGGTAAGAGGACGAGCTATCTCTCCATACCCCCTCACAAAACGCCGATAGTACCTTGTGAGGCCCAAGAATCCACACACATCACGCACATTCCGAGGCGTCGGCCAAGTAGAAATGGCCGTGACTTTGGAAGGATCTGCCGCCACTCCCTCTCCCGAAATTATGTGGCCGAGATACTCTACACTTGATCGGCCAAAAATACACTTCTTCTTGTTAGCATATAGCTTTTCTCTTTCCAAAATGTCCAACACCTTAGTCAAATGCTCCCTATGCTCCTTCAAGCTTTTGCTATACACCAAAATATCATCAAAGAACACAAGGACGAATCGGCGAAGGTATGGTCGAAATACCGAGTTCATTAACGCTTGGAATGTCACCGGGGCATTGGTGAGGCCGAATGGCATCACTAGGAACTCATAATGGCCCTCGTGTGTCTGAAAGGCTGTCTTCTCCACATCACTCTCGAGGACCCGAATTTGATGGTATCCTGCCCTCAAATCCAACTTCAAGAATACTTGTGCTCTATGGAGCTCATCCAGTAGCTCGTCGATCACTGGAATAGGGAACTTATCCAGGACCGTTACTTGGTTCAAGGCCCCGATAATCCATGCAAAAAGGCCAACTACCATCCTTCTTTTTCACCAAGAGCACCGGACTCGAATAAGGGCTACAACTAGGCCGAATTATCCCCAAAGTCAACATATCCGTCACCAACCGCTCAATCTCCCCCTTCTGAAAATGTGGATAGCGATAGGGTCGGACGTTAGGAGGGTCCGCCCCATCCTTCAATACGATACGGTGACCCCGAGCTCTCTTAGGGGGCAGCCCCTTAACCTCCTCAAAAACTCCCCCGAACAGCGCCAACACTCCCTGTAGCTCCTCGGGAATTGCTTCGGCAGCATCTCCCACTACCTCACAAACTTCTAGCAATACTCCTACTTGGTGAGGCCCGAGAGATCGAGCCATCGAACGTAAGCTTGCGGGCGTGTAGCATAAAGAGGGGTCTCCTGACCAACTCACCCGCTCTTTCCCCTCCTTAAACTTCATCATGAATCGGGACCAATCCGCTCTCACCTCTCCCAATCTACGCAACCACGTCACTCCTAACACGACTTCGGCACTTCCTAACGCAAATGGGAAAAAATCCTCCACCACCATGTAACCTTGAATCATCAACTCTACTCCCCGGCAAACACCTTGTTGTTTGATACACGCTCCATTCCCCACTTACACACCACACCGAACCAAGGAAGCACAAGGCAGCCCCAACTCTTGGACCACCAAATTCGACACAAAACTGTGAGAAGCTCCACTATCCACCAACACTACCACCTCCTACGAACCAATCCATCCTTTGACTTTCATGGTTTTCGCAGAGTTTACTCCCATTAGAGAGTCAAGAGAGAGATCTACCTTCTCTACCACTGAGTCTTCATCGGAGCCCTCCTCCTCCTTGACTTCCCCTTCTATTTCTGAATCATCTTCGGTCGCCAACAGAATTTGGAGTTGCTTGTTCTTGCAACGGTGCCCAGGGCTAAACTTCTCATCGCATTTAAAGCAAAGCCCACGGGCGCGTCGTTGTTGCATCTCCTCCTCCGACATCCGGCGGTATCCCCCTGCACCACCACCCAACGGACTAGAAGCCCCTGGCAAGGAAGCTCGTCCCCTTCCAACATTCCCCCCTTCCTGACTGGTGTTGGATCGAAGGGAGCTCCCCGAAAACGAAGGCCGGCTGGTGGTACCGTCATTGAACGAATAGGACCTTTCCAATCCTCCAACCCGTCCACTCTTCCACCGCCCCATTCTCTCCACCGCCTCGTTTCGATCCTCAATTTGTTGTACTATCTCCATCACCTCTTGGAGAGTAGCCGGTTTATGCATCTTCACCTCCGCTCTAACACCCTCTCAGAGTCCATCGAGGAAGACTCCCTTGTAAAATGCATTTGGCATTCCTCTCACTGGAGCTGAAAGCAATTCAAAATGGTCCAAATAATCCACTACCGATCCCACTTGCCTCAACGCCATCAATCTCTCCATCGGATCGCCCTATTTGGCTCTACTAAAACGTTTCAAAATCGCTGCCTTCAACTCCCTCCATCCCACAAACAGATCTTGCGAATCCGTCCACCGAAACCAATTCAAGGCCTGCCCTTCCATGCACATTGAGGCAATCGACACCTTGTCTCGCTCCGGAATCTCACACGTATCAAAATATTGCTCCGCCCTAAACAACCACACATATGGATCCTCGCCGGCGAAGCTTGGCATTTCGATCCTTCTCCCTCGAAATTCTCCCCTTCCCCGGTGGCCTTCTGGGGTCTCTTGGCGGAACTCCCGTTGGTTCTCCCACGGGCCAGCCCCGGATCCCAACCTCTTCGGGCCCCAATCAGAGCCAGATCCGGGCTGGGTCCCTGTTCTGGGGATACCCATGACATCCCCGACCTGGAATGGGCCTCACCGGCTCAAACTCCAGCTCCCACGACGGTTCCCGCCGCCGTCCTAGCTTTGCCGCCCTCTCCGGCGAGCCCCAGCCCGCCGTCGATCTGCTCTTCCCGCCGTTGACCCAAACGTCCAAGCCCTAGATCTCACCAGTAGTTGCGATCTTCTAGAAGACCCATGTCTCTCTGGTGCTGGAAATCCCTCTCGCGGCCTCGATCTTCGCAAATTGGCGCTTCTCGGCGAAGATCCACTCCGCCTGGGTCGTCGCGATCTGGGCTCTCCTCGCCCCGAGGCGCGCGATCTCGCCTCTCCCAGTCCAATCGTTCGCCGTCGCGACCCAACTCAGCCTCCCTGGCCATCGGCCGCGCCGCCAGCAGTGCCTCCATCCTCCGCAGCGCCGCCTGCACGTCTTCCATCTGAGTCCAAACCTCCCCCAGTTCACCACGCAGCCCAGCCACTTCTTCACGGATCTGCAGAAGATTCTCGGTCACCACCGCGTGGACCGCCTCCTAGACCACCACCAATCCCCTTTCCACCGTAGTCACCATGGATCGGAGCTCTGATACCAAATTGTTAGGAACCTAGCTCAAAAAATCAGCCAAACACCAATACCACACTCACACACCAGAAACAGAACATGAGTAATCGGAGGGAATTTTATTAATCCAATCAGCCAAGAACACCAAATTACACTGAAATATAAAGGATAGATCGGAGATTTTGAGCTCTCCGGCACTCCCAGCCATTCCGGCAACACACCTAACACTTGGAAGATGAAAATACTCACTGCCCAAACCTACTGCGCTTCCCCCATTCAAATTACTCCAAAATTAGCCCTCTTGCCACGTCAGCCCATCCTAACCACTTTCAATATTTTCCCTTAGGCCCCTAACTCTGTGTTTTCTACTCGTTTTGCCCTTCCTAGTGTAAACTTGCTTCAGTAGGGGGTCTAACAGAAACATACAAAAAATACTATTTCCCTTATGTGACTGTTTCCCTAAGCAAATTGAAACGTACAAAATATGTTTTTAAACATCAATAGAATTCAGTTTTACGAAATTGAAATACTTACAAACATCTTAAGGCCAATGGATGCTATCTTAAGTTGCTGTCCAACAGAGAAATTCAGTTCAAGAACATCCTTAACCGACTTTGAGACATAGTAGATTCTCTTCACATGATTATTATCAAGATTTCGTGACAAGAGATGGCCAACCAATGGAAAGGATTCGTCAATGCCATAGAATGTTTTTATGCTATTGATAATAGCTTCATCTCTGAAGAAAACAACAGGGTCAACCCCTTTCCATTTGCCCTGCATGTGTATCTTTCTTTTCCCTCCAGCCTTATTGGAATCAAGTGCCTTGGCACCTGATGCTTGGGCTGCCTCAGAACTATTTTCTTCCAATGCAACAGAAAGATCTGGTTCAGCTTTATTGGAATCAAGTGCCTTGGCACCTGATGCTTGGGCTGCCTCGGAACTATTTTCTTCCAATGCAACGGAAAGATCTGGTGCCAAAACAACCTCATCTAGTTTGTCATCTATCAAATCCACCTCTGAAGCTGCTTCTGAAGATTTTCCATCGGTTACGTCAGTGGAGCTAGCCTCCAACCCATTTGAATATTCAATAACCTCATTTGGTAAATCTTCTGGTGGCTCATTGTTTCGCTTCTCTTTCTGAGGGTTTGGTTTCTCCTGAACAGCTACACAGTGGAATTCAAACGGAACAAAACTGTAATTAGCAGATGAGAAAAGCCAAAGAAAAACCGAGGATAATAATTATATATTTCTCAAATCCTAACTAAGATAAAGGTCATGAAATTACAGAAGACAGACAAATTAAGTTTCAATTTGCTAATGTAGGTAGATCAAGATAAAGATCCTCAGCCGACACAAATTCTTGATAGAGTGTAAGATTTAAACCTAATGCCTTGGGGAATATGAAAGCACCTGGCAGTGGGGAATTCTTCTGGAAGACAGCGATGAAAAAGGCCCCAGTATTTTGATCATGTGGCACTATTCTCATGCAACGTTCTAGAGGAAAATCAGACACTTCCTCTTCTAACACATCAACTGAAGGTATTGAATTCCCTGTCGAATGCACGGCATCTTCCAAATCAGCATTTCCACCATTTTCATGCTTCTCTTCTGGTTCCGTAATCAGATTGCTGTTGTCAGTTACATCCGAATAGCTTCTGGCTGCATCCGAATAGCTTCTGCCAGAAGGAAACATGCTTGGAACAACGACACTTCTGCGGTATTTGGGAACATCTTTGTAGGAAGCCAACCAGACACCCTTGTCTCGTACCTGTATGTCCGTGGAAATATGAAAAATAATAATAATAATAATATTTATGGAGATTACATGTCTACAGAAAGAGAAGATGGGGGCCTACTGGGCCATGTCAATCACCAGATTGTTTCTTTTTCCTTTTTCTTTTTCGTTTCCTAGGACAACTTATAATGATGATCTTCTACATTACAAATGATCCAACCTTATACAACAAAAGTAATGAGTATAACATAAACAACTGTTGCTAACAGCAGACAGTTGCCCACCAAGAAGTGGAAAAAATACAATTTGGACAAAATTCACAAACTAAGCAATCATGTAGGACATTGTCAAAACGCGACAAGGGTTGCAACATAGATCCTCATCCTCTAATAATCACTTTAGCATGACAAAATCCTAGCTCAGACAATGCTCAACTTGGTACAAATTTTTTAAAAAAAATTCTGGCTTAGCAATTGCAAAAATAAAAATCATGTGAAGAGGTAAACACCTTTCCTGATAGCCAATCAGAAGATTCGAAACCAGCATCCTACCTCAAAATGTGACAACAGTTTCATCGAACCAAATTTTGAAATCATGATTAATGAGAACATACAATCTTTTCAAATGTCCAGTTAACAATAGCAGGTACTTTCTTGTAGCAAAAGAAATAAAAGACTTATGAACACATAAATCACGCAAATAGACTTATCAAAGGAATATACATACATACAAAAATACATACATATATATATATATACACAGATGACAATTATTACTACCAAAAAAATTTACTAATAATAACTAACCTTCCACTTCTTAAGCCCAGGCCTCCGAACAAGTTGAGGAAGTTCATTAGAAACATCAAGTAATTCAACAGACCCTCCACATTTGCGCAAAATCTGCACAAGATTAAACATGATAGCAAATTGAGAGAAGAGACCAACTGGCAGAAATCCACTATGCACAATCAAGTTAACAGAAAACAGAGACTTCTACAGCAATAGAAAACAGGCTTTCATTTAAGGGACGGGTGGATAATTATCAAGGAACAAAAGGGGTTCTGACACTTCTGAGTGTAAATAATTGGATATTTTAATAATTTATATATTTGAACTTTTTAGGGATACATTTGAATCTTACATGTCATAGATGTTTCTGTTTCTAATTTCTGCAGATCTTGATCATTGTTTCACAAGTAAGTTTATGTCACATCGCTCTTTCACTCGTAGTTTTATGTTCCTTTTTGCCTCTAAAGCAGCTATTATACTTTATTTTTAATGAGAACTACACTCATACCAATTGTACATTGCCAATATTACCGAGATACCCTGTTTGCCCACAATATTTTACGTCAACACCCCTTACTGCTCAGAAAAATTACACTAACACACCCTCTGTAAGTTGGCAAGGGGGGCTGCTACTAATTGCTAGGGTTTATGAGACAATAAATTTGAAAACAATATCTTAGGGCTAAGATTAAAGCCCATTTAGATCTGTTGCCAAAATTTATTTGGGCATTTTAGTCATTGTACATTAAAGTTAACAGAGTTAGAGGCAAGGGGCACTGACGTAATATTTCAGTTGAAGGGGTATCTCTATAATTTAGACAAGACTTAACGGATGTCTGTAGTTCTCCCTTATTTTTAAGGAGTATTCTGTCTTTCGAAAAGAACAAGAGTATAAGTTTTACCTGTGATATATGTACTGCATTATTATTACAGCATCACAATAAAGAATTTTATTGCATGAAACATTCAATTGTCAAAACAAGCATTAACCAAAAAATAAATAAATTAATAAACTTCCACGTAATCAAAATTGCACTTGTCAAACAATGAAAAATAAAGATAATAATATATGAGTGTGCATAAGGGTTTAACTCAATGGAATAGTCAACGTATATGCTCGAGAGACAACTGAGTGAATTATAACATAAAAGATGGCAGGAAATTCAGACAGAGATGGGAAGCTTAAATTACAAGAATATTTAATATACCTCAGCAACCACAGCTTCATTCTCAATTGGATTCATAGAGCATGTCGAGTACACCATTCTCCCACCCACTTTAAGCAAACTTAGACCTGCAATAATCAACACATTTTTATTTTTTAATTTGGGATGCTCACTGAAAGGCTTAAAAATAATCTTCTTAACCCCAACTCTTTCACTGAAATAGAGGAAAATTAAAAGTGTGTAAAATTGCGCCTGAATGACTGCTTGATAACATTAACATTGATTCAACCACAATGGTTACTATTTACAAACCTTTATATCAATTGCATATGCAAAGGATATCAAATGAATTTATGTATTATCAAAAGCAAACACAAAGCAGGCCTATTATTTCCAAACAATCATATCTCAAAACACTTCAAGGAAAACAAGTATTTTTTAATAACATAGAAGGCCTTCTCTCGACTTCTACTTGATTTCAGAAACCAATGTGTAGAAAGACCAAAGTGCAGCAAAAGTCAACTTCGAGAACTTCATAATCAAATTTTACCAAATATCTAATATCTTAAAAAGGGATGGTTTCACAGGCCCTAAGCAGCCTCAAATTTTCCATTTTACAGGCTGACAGATGCAAAGAGGGAAGCGGGAAAAAAAATAAAAATAAAAATAAAAATAAAAAAGAAAGAAAGAAAGTTCCTCCCGACTTCACTAGTTGATAATTTATTTTGAACCAATCAACTTAAGCTCAAAAACCATAAGCATATAATGGGCTTGACAATTTTTTTCTCAGAGCTATTTTAGCATTTTAGCCTATTTTCCAATTGTTTTCTCTTTTATTCCTTTTTCATTCTGTTATAACAAACTGTTGGTTATTCCCTTGCTGAGCTGTACAACTCCTTATGCGTGACCTTGTGCGTGATGTAAAGCCTTCCCAAGCTATATAAGCTCTGTACCTTTGGTTGCTTTTATCAATGAATATGAGAATGAATCATTTTCTTCCTATTCTCTTTTTTGTAATATGGTATTAGAGCGATATTTTTCGCTGCTTCTTCTTCATTTCTAAGTCATGGCCCGTGGAAGTCAAAATCCCAACAATAATGCCAACCGTTTTTAGGCACTAACCCCTCCTACTACTGCGTCCGCTCTTGACCCTTCTTCCATGGATAATATCCATAGTCCACTTTTCCTCCATAATGGCGATCATCCCGGTTTAGCTCTTGTTTCTCATATTCTCACCGGTCCCAACTACAACACTTGGAGCCGAGCTATGCTTATGGCCCTTAATGCCAAAAATAAGCTTGGATTTGTTGACGGTACCCTTTTGCAGCCTCACACAGAAGATCCTTCTGCAAGTGTCTGGTCTAGATGTAACAGTATGGTTACATCTTGGCTGCTCAACGCTGTTTCCAAGGAGATCACTGATAGTCTCCTCTAGGGCCAGCAATATGGGTCACAACACGACTCGAAAACGACACGAATTTTGCGGGTTAGGGTTGAGAAAAAAGAGGTTCGGGTCAGAATTTGGTCGACCTGAAATTGACACGAAATCCACGGGTCAATTTCGGGTTGGACCCGCCTAACCCGAACACGACACGAAACTCGTAAAAAACTAAAAAATACATATATTTTTCATTTCATATTTTAAATTTTATTATGAACTTGTGATATTATAATAGTTATACTCAAAATCTTATACTATTATTTGCTTAATTTCAATGGATGTTATTGTAATTTAGTGTTATGAATTTTAAGTTATTTTTAATATGTAAAAAACTAAATAAAAGTATACAATTTTCGTGTCAATTTCGGGTTCACGGGTCAATTTTGTGTCACGAGTCATTTTCGGGTTGTGTAGTGTCAACTCGTAAAGTGGTCGTGTCGTGTTCGTGTTGCGGTTTTTAAAAAATTTCGTGTCACGGGTCGTGTTCGAGTTGACTATAAATTTAGAAAGAAACGATCAAAACACGACACGTGACACGAATTGCCACCCATAGTCTCCTCTGCCTTGATAGTGCTCATGCTGTTTGGTCAGATCTACACGATCGGTTTCATCAGAGCAATGCACCTAGGATTTTTCAGATCAATCAGCAGCTGCACGGCCTGTCTCAAGGTTCCCTTGACGTCAACACTTACTATACTCGGTTGAAAATCCTTTGGGATTAGCTCAAGAATTTTCAGCCAATTCCCGTTTGTCAATGTGGCGGTATGAAGGCGTGGATGGATTATCAACAACAAGAGTATGTGATGCAGTTCTTGATGGGTCTCAATGACTCTTATGTTGGGACGCGAGGCTAGATCTTGATGCTTAATCCATTGCCCTCTGTTTCGAAAGTGTTTAATTTGGTTGTTCAAGAGGAACGGCAACGATCGATCGGACCAGTGTCTTCTGTCCCAGCTGATTCGTTGGCTTTCAGCGCCTCTTCTACTCCACCCATCCTACCCACTCTAGCGGCTCCGTTTGCGGTGGCTTCTTTTTCCCAGAACATGCCTAAGCGAGACCGCCCGATTTGTTCGCATTGTGGTCTCACAAGGCATTCTGTGCATCGTTGCAATAGACTCCACGGTTTCCCACCAAGTTACAAGCCCAGGCCCAAATTACAGGCCCAACAGAGCTCTCTTCAATCCATCCCTAACCCTACACATCATCTCCAACTGACTCGATTTCCTCCATCTTCTCCCACAGCTGCTACTACAGCTTTCTCGTCACCGACGGGACAGTTCTCACCGACTGGGGAGCTCTCTTCTGCCGCCACGACTCTTTCACTGACAAGACATCTGTCTTCGGATCAGGTGCAGCAGCTCCTTGCGTACCTCAACACACAGCTCCAACATCAAGGCATTACACCTCTTGAGTCTTAACCAGTAACGGGTCCCTCTGTTACCCAACTCAGTGGTAATATCTCTTTCGCCCTTTCTTTCTCTCATCCTTCCATTCCATCTGATGCTTGGATTATTGATACCGGTGCTACACATAATGTGTGTCACAATCTTTCCCTGTTTTCTCATTCTACACCTATCGCAAACACCATAGTCACTCTTCCGAATGGTCACACTTCAGACATTACTCGCATCGGTTCTGTAAAATTGTCTGACACCTTGAGCTTGAATGATGTGCTATATGTTCCCATGTTTACTTTTCAATCTTCTGAGCATTAGTGCGCTTACTCTTAGTCATACTTGTAGTGTTAATTTTCTCCCAAATTCATGTGTGATTCAGGACCTCACTCTGGACTTGATGATTGGGAAGGGTAGCAGACAAAACAACCTCTATTTCCTAGACCTAGGGAATGAATATTGTAGTTCTGTTTTTTCTAATTCAGCAATGTCAAAGGGTGATATTTGACATTTTCGCCTTGGTCATCCGTCGCATGTAAAACTCCAACTTCTACATAATGAATTATGCATTTCCAATTCCACATCTCATTTAGCTTCTCACTGTAAAGTTTGTCATATGGCTAAACTTAAACGATTGCCCTTTATCTCTCATAATAACATGTATGCTCATCCTTTTCATTTGGTTCACATTGATATTTGGGATTCCATGTTCAAACACCAGCTGGCCATAGATATTTTCTCACTATTGTAGACGACTGCACACATGTCACTTGGGTGTATCTTTTACATACCAAATCTGATGTTCTTACTGTATTCCCTAATTTTTTCACATTCATTTCTACTCAATATAACACTGCAATCAAATCAGTTCGTTTGGACAATGCCCCTGAATTAGTTTTTCAAGATTCTTTTTGCTCAAAAGGTGTCCTTCCTTACCACTCATGTGTTGACACTCCTGAACAAAATTCGGTTGTTGAGCGTAAACACCAACACATACTCAACGTGGCACGCGCTTTACATTTTCAATTAGGTGTTCCTCTTTGTTACTGGGGTGATTGTGTGTTGACTGCCGTTTATTTGATTAACCGCACTCCTTCTCCATTATTGTCAAATAAAACTCCATTTGAAATGTTAAATAAAAAGAAACCTGACTACAAACACCTTCACACATTCAGATGCTTATGCTATGCTTCCACCTTGCCTAGACATCGTACAAAGTTTACTCCTCATGCTAGAGCCTGTGTGTTTCTTAGTTATCCTCTTGGCTATAAAGGTTACAAATTGCTTGATTTGGAAAATAATTCGATTTCCATTTCTAAGAAGGTTGTCTTTCATGAGACCTTTTATCCTTTTGCTAATTATGTCACTTCAGGCAATGTCCTTGATCTATTTAGTGACCGTGTTCTTCCCATCCCTCTTTCTCCACCATTGGGGACCTCTCCTAGCACGTCTCGATCCATTCCTTCCTCTAGTCCTAAGTCTATTCCATCACTACCTTCTGTTTCTTCTTCTTAAGCCAGCATATTTATCTGACTACCGTTGCTACTCATCCAGCCACATTTCCTCCAAAACCACTCTACATCCAATTTCTTCCTGCTTGAGTTGTCACAAGCTTTCTCAACCATACCGTTTTTTTGTCCTTGCCATCAACTCCCAAACCGAACCCACATCTTTCAGCCAAGCCATTGAGTCTCAGGTATGGCGTGATGCAATGACTGTTGAGTTGCAGGCTTTGGAAAGCAATGGCACTTGGTCCATTTGTTCTCTTCCTCTTGGCAAACATCCGGTTGGCTGCAAATGGGTATATAAAGTGAAACATCGTGCTGATGGGACAGTGGAAAGGCACAAAGCTCGTCTTGTGGGTAAGGGTTTTACACAACAAGAAGGTATTGATTATCTTGACACATTTTTCCCTGTTGCAAAACTAGTTACTGTTAAAGTTTTGCCTTCATTAGCTGCAATTTATGGCTGGTCACTCACTCAACTCGACGTGACAAATGCATTTCTTTATGGTGATCTTGTTGAGGAAGTCTACATGAGCCTTCCCCTTGGCTATCCTTGTCGTGAGGGGGAGCATTTGCCCTCTAATGCCGTATGCAGGCTTCACAAATCCATTTATGGCTTAAAGCAAGCTTCACGACAGTGGTTTCAGAAATTTTCTAGTGCACTGCTGTCCGAAGGTTTTGTTCAATCATCTAGTGACCACACTTTATTTACAAAACATCGTGGTACTTCTTTTTTGTCTCTTTTGGTCTATGTTGATGATATTATCATTGCTAGCAATGATCCTGTCGCTGTGGACACTTTAAAAGGTGTTCTTAATAACAGGTTCAAAATGAAGGATTTGGGTTCTCTTCGATATTTCCTTGGCTTGGAAGTGGCTAGATCAGCCGCTAGCATTTCAATTTGCCAGAGAAAGTACGCCTTGGAATTGCTCTCAGACACTGGTTTTTTGGGTTGCAAACCAGCCACTGTACCCCTATGGATCCAAACTTAAACTTATCGCAAGATGATGGTGATTTGATTGAAGATCCAACCAGTTACAAGAGGCTCATTGGCAAGTTGTTGTACCTTACCATTACTCGTCCAGACTTGAGCTACTCAATCAATCGTCTCAGCCAGTTTCTAGCGGCTCCTCGCACACCACATCTCCATGCTGCTTTTCGCATTCAAGAATACATTAAACGGACACCAGGGCAAGGTCTTTTCTTTCCAACTAACTCTATGATTCAGCTTAAAGCCTTTGCCGATTCAGATTGGGCTTCATGTCCTGACACTCACCGCTCCATTTCCGGATTTTGTGTGTTCCTTGGGTCTTCTCTCATCTCTTGGAAATCCAAGAAACAACCAATTGTCTCAAGATCTTCTGCTGAAGCTGAATACCGCTCCATGGCCAACACTACTTGTGAGATCACTTGGCTACTTTCTCTACTTAGTGATTTGAAGGTCCCTCATCCTAATCCTGCTGTTCTTTATTGTGACAATCAAGCGGCTCTCCATATTGCAGCAAATCCAATCTATCATGAGCGCACAAAGCACATCGAAATTGACTGCCATATTGTTCGAGAGAAAATCCAAGCTAGGTTATTGAAAACCTTACACGTTACAACACAAAATCAGCTTGCTGACATACTAACTAAAGCTCTTCATCCTTCCCCATTTCATTGCTTACTGTCCAAGATGGGAATTCATGACATATACTCTCCATCTTGAGGGGGAGTTTTAGCATTTTAGCCTATTTTCCTATTGTTTTCTCTTTTATTCCTTTTTCATTCTGTTATAACAAACTGTTGGTTATTCCCTTGCTGAGCTGTACAGCTCTTTATGCGTGACATTGTGCGTGATGTAAAGCCTTCCCAGGCTATATAACCTCTGTACCTCTGGTTGCTTTTATCAATGAATATGAGAATGAATCATTTTCTTCCAATTCTCTCTTTTTTGTAATAAGCTACACATCATTTAAAATTGCACAACAAACAAAGGAAAATGCCAACCTACACAGCATAAGTAACATAGCAACAAGTTACTACAAATTCAAAAAGTTGACCTCAAGGTTTTCATCAAAGTTACCTCGCATGGCTATCAGAACTTGTAGGCAATGAAGCCCATTTCCCATCCCTGCATTCCAAATTTCACCAGCCCAGTAAGCAAACAAGCTAAAAGTAACGCGGTTGTGTTAGGAAATATTTACCATTTTCTCCAGATATCAGGTGCCTTGCGAAGAGTACCATCTCCACTACAAGGAACGTCACATAATACACGATCAAACTGAAGTTGGCTAATAAATGAATCTTCCAATGCTGTTCCAAAAGCATCAGAGTTGTGACGTCTGTTTAAACGACAGCCAGGGAAATGTTGGGCTTCATGATTTGTGACAATAAGGTTGGCAGTGCACATTCTTTTTGTTTGGTGAATCAGAAGATTGCATCTTTGAACATCAAGATCATTTGCTATAACCTAGTCAAGGAACAAGATCACGAGGAGTCAACTTCACAGCAGAAGTAATAGAATGAGAGGAAATGAACATCATAGCAAGACGACAGATCACGGAATTCAGATAGGAGACTTACAGCAACAATCATGCTCTATAATAGAACGAAGAAGAGATAGAACGCAAAAAGTAGAATTCGAGATAAAGAATGTGAAACTACAAGACACTAACCAGTCCATTGGGCAGAGATCCTGATTTGCATGAATGATACACAATCTCAAGCAATTGAAATGTTTTCGAACCAGGAGCAGCACACACTGAGGAAAACAAACCATCAGAAAGAATTTTTATTTTCTTTTTAACAAATAGCCCATCAAAATATTACTTTATGCGGCCCAAATTAAAGAACAGGCTATTGTTACAAGTTTCCATTTTCCACCTTAAAAAATTACACTCAGAAACATGCCAGCAGAGATTATGCATCTTCCAACGATTTACATGTTCTTTTCTACCTCAAAAGATAATTAAGAAAAGGAAGAAGAAGTAATATTATTTTTTGGTCAAAAAATAAAATAAATTACTTACTATCAAGGACAAAATGATCAGGGGATACACCAAGGAAGAGGGGAGGTACCTGTGCAGCAATAAACAATTATTGAGAAATCTAGTGGTTGCTTAAAGCGGCCTACAATACCCTTAAACAACATAAACCTTTCTAAAGAGATGATAATCCAGGGATCTATGTATGACTATAGAAATCCACTAGCATTTCTAACACCTAAAACTCAATAAGTAAAACTCCTGAGTTGATAGACTATGAGGAACACTGGCCCACCATGCTCACAGCCTCCTGTCTTGTTATGTTTCCGATTTCATTTTCCATCTTTAAGAACTCATGAAACCTGAGACATTGATACAATGGAAACAGGTTTTAAACATAAAAAATGGAAAGATCAAGCTTTTTCATCAAGTAAATTGATGAAAAATATGAAATAATGTACATGTAATTTGCATTGAAAAAAAAAAAAAGTTCGCCCTTTCTGGATTTAGGTTTAATGGATTTCATCAAGCTTTCTTGGACAGATACGCAAAAGATCCCAAGAAATCTGAGTCCCAAATTATTGAGAGCTTGTACTAAAGGACACTAGTGACTAAATCTTGGATTAAAGCTGCAAAAGCATACAATTTCATTTTGTCATCTTACAATAGCTAAACTCCAATGCCTCACCCGAAATGCAACACATTGAAGCATCGTAAAGCAGGGTGGTTTAAATCACAGATGCTGAGTTTACAAAGGAATTTACGGAATAACATCAACACAGAATGCATCACTACCTCTCGAGATTCTGGTTCTTCCTGAGCTGCATGCGGGAAAAATTAGAATGCCAAGCGAGATTCTCAGGGTACCAGGGCAATGGCCTAATAGCCTCCGTTTCGCCTCCATCGCTGACCTGAATATCATAATCACAATATATTCGAAAAGAAAAACAATGGTCAAATATAACATAACAACAAAAAGATGTATCATGTCATTACTACACTAAATTAACAAAATAAACATTTGACTTGCCTCGGCTTGAAGAGATATCATAAAGTCATTTTCTAACTGATCTCGAATGTCTTTGTAGAACTGACTACTGCAAAAATCAAGTGAAGATTCCAAAGAGTTTCAGATTAATATGCATAGAGCAAATAACTGACTGTATTAGAGAAACGACTTCTAGTTACAAACTCCAAATATGAAAAGAAAAAGACAATGTTCTTTTGTGGAAAGCAAAATAAATATCTTTTTCGTTCAACTTATAAGAATTGAAACTTCGTACGACAAAAGAATTTTACATCCCTCGTTTCTATAAAAAAAAATAGCCATTGAAGACATCACCTTGAGTTTATGCGGAAAGCAGCTGGCAATGGTGTTCTGAGAACTCCAATGAACGAGTCCCACTCTTCAGGGGACACAATTCCTTGCTCCTACATTACCCAAAAAAAAAAAAAAACACACACACACACACACACCCATTTGAGCAAATCATTTATCAACAGCGATCCGATAAAGCAATAAAATTCAGACGTAAAAACCTTATAAAACTCGTCGAAAGAAGGGTTCTGAGTAGCGAAAGGTTCCCAAGTGGACTTTGAACCATTGTTGTTGTCGTTTCCGGAGTTGTTGTTGTTGTTGTTGTCGTCGTTTTTGTCAGTCTCCGAGGAAGGATCAGACCTGGAACGCTTCCAAACGTTCTCTCTGTTCTGTCGGAAATGCCTTCGCTGAGTGCGAGCCCCCCTGCCTCCTCGCCCGCCGCCGCGCCCCATTTCTCGCTCTCGCTTGGTATGCTTTTGCTAATGAAGCTCAACTGTTTGTTGTTTTGTCTCAATGGGACTGCCAGTGGAGCTTGACGCGTGCGCTTTGAATGATTGTTGTTTTTGTGCCCGCGAGGCAGTGGCTAAAGCTTTTCCGTTCGGGTGCAGTGGTTTGGGTTTAGTTTGGGGTTTGGGGATAATGTTTTTGAAGCCCATGAACCCCGGCCCAAATTAGAAAAATCCCAAATCGAGTAGAGAAATGCTAGTATTATTTTTTATATTTATTATTTGATACGTGAATTATATTTAAGTAGATTCTATTATTTTATTTTTTATTTACATAATAATATATCATATTAATAGAATTTATGTATCAAACAGTAAATATATAATAAAAAAAATTAAGCATTTTTTTGAGTTAGGCATATACATAGAGTTCCAAGCGCAGGCTAACGATGTCAACAAAAAATAAAAGATATAGCCATAATTCTAGACATTACCGCTAAAAGGAAAAGTTTAAATTACCCGTCCAAGTTAAAATAATAATAATAATAATTAGTATTATATAATTTTGTAGCACAAATTATGAAAATCATTATGATAAATAATACATGATTTTGTTATTACGAAAAATTATTTAAAAAAATATTATTTTTTTAAGTAATTTGTACAAATAGTCCTCAATTTTTTTAAAATGTGACAGTTTAATCTTTAACATTTTTTTTAACAAAACGACCCTCAAACTCTTTAAACAGGTGTAATTTAGTCATTTTTATCAAATTTTTAACAAATTCTCACATGTAAGCATCACGTGCCTTCTTTTTTTTAATTAAAAGACAAAAATGCCATCAAAACCTCACACCCATGGCCTTCTTCTTCCTCCTCTTTACCTCCTGCGAGCCTCATTCCCGACCAACCCCATCCCCTATGATCTGACCTCCAATGAGTGATTTTTTTTTTTCTTGATGCTCATTTTGAGCAAATGCAGCCCGTGATTCTCACAAATAATAGATGATTAATCTTGCATCTTCACGCCCCCCATGAAATTCATCCTCTGGCCTTGTTTCCATAAGACCCATGTCGAAGTCGACCTCCATACCTAAAAAGTTGCAGAGGGTCCAAGACCATGGCTTCGACAACTACATGGAAATCGAGAAGAAGACGCGAAAAATCCTCAAGTTTCAGAGTCTCATTCTCTCCCAACGCAATAATACTATCCCAGTCTCGCACCTCGATTTCCTCGCTCGCCCCCTCAGATTCAAACAGGACGAAGCAGGGGCTTTCGTGCTATAATTTCCTCATGTTTTCGAGATTTACAAGCACCAGGTTCAATGAATCCTTTATGGCTGATTAGCCCGAAAAGCCCACCTCCAAATTGAGCGAGAAAGACATGCCCTTTATGCCCAAATCCCCGAAGCCGTGACCCGTCTCCGGAAGCTTCTGATGATGTCCAACAATTGCAGGCTTCGACTCGAGCACGTACGAATTGCGAGGAAGGAATTTAGGCACTTGGACGATTTCGAGCACTCGGTAATTCTCAAGTACCCTCAGTATTTTAGATTGGTTGATGCTAAAGAAACTAGGAATAAGTGAATTGAGTGTCGAAAGTGAAAAAGATCTGAGCTCGACTGTTTGTGATATTGAGAAACTTAGGGAGAGAGAATACAGAGAAAAATGAGCTGATGCTGAGGATATAAGGTTTTCGTTCATTGTGAATTTTCTGCCTGGATTTACGATTGACAGTATTACAGAATTGCTGCGTGGAAATGGCAGAGGGTTCCTTATTGGTCCCCTTATGAGGATGTTTCGGGGTATGATTTGAGGTCGATTGAGGCGTAAAAGCGGATGGAGAAGAGGGCGGTTGCCACAATCCATGAGCTGCTGAATTTGACAGTTGAGATGAGAGGGAGAAAGAGAGCTTGCCTTGGTATTTTATCAAAATACATGTTTTGCACATGATTAATTATGTTAAAAATTTAACAGAATTCCACTAAAGTAGTATAGGGAAATCTGCAAAAATGCCATGAGGTACGAATTCTGCCACTTCAAATGGAAACGCTTAGAATTCTACTGCACTTTAGAAGACCAGTTAAAGCTCATGTTTGCCGAATGCTTTCAAAGATAATTTACAAGGCTATGACCAGAAATCTATTAGGGTGAGTTTGGTATAAAAATTGGAATCAGTGTGATTTTAATTCAAAATCATGATTCTTGATTTGAATTATAATTTATGATAATTAGAATTTTTATTTGGATGTGTATAGACATGATTTTGATTCTAACCTGAAATATGATTCAAATTAGTATTTGATTGTTTTGTTTTTTGATTTTGAACCATAACCAAAATAAGAACTAACTTTTGGCCGTGTAAATTACGTTGGGTGTAATTTAAAGAAATATAAATTGTTACATAATTAAAAAAACAAAATATTAGGGCAAAAATTATAACTCAAAATTATAATAAGTTAAATGAGTAATAAATGTAAAAAATGTGCCAGTAGCCAAAAAGTAAGGCAAATAACAGTCATTCATGTTGAAAAGAGAAATTAGTTCACATGATACAAACGTACGTTACGAACGTCAAATTTTTTTTGCAAATATAATGGATACATGAATATGAAGTAATAGAGGTAGAATCTCATTGCTAATATGTACTTTCAACCTTGTCTCTTACGGCTTCCCTAGTATTTCACTCACATTTCATTCGCAAGGCGATCCCTAAAACCCTATCTCTGTATGATGAACACTACCCGCTGTTACAATTGGCCCTTCAGAGACATTGCCATCATTGTCATCGTCATCAAATTCATCATCATTGTTTGGATCTATTTCATTTACAGGTACACCATCATGGTGGTATTGACTTAGAAGCGGGTCCCCACATTAACCATGTGAATTAAATTATGTAGTATTGCACATGCAACATGAATCTTCACTTATTTATTCATTAGATATGTATTATTAGGTCACCTTAGGATAGGGAACTTAGCTTTCTAAACCCTAAATGTTCGTTCTATACAATTTCTCAATGATGAGTGTTTGTAGTTAAAAATATCCCTAGGTCCCTAAAATCTATCACTTCTCATTTTGTAATTAGGCAAATGGTAAGTCACACCTCTGTCGAAGTGAGAAAACAATCAATATTCACATACACCACATTAACAAGATAATATTTCCTGTGCAACATATCCAAATTAGGCTGCAATTGAGGACCCATAACAATAAATAGCCATAAGTAGGAAGACATTATGAAGTGTAACCTGGTGGGGGATGTGGGAACTGAAACCTAGGATTGTTCAGTGCATCCGTGAGAACTCGAGCATCGTGAGCTGAACCTTCCCAACCGGATAATATGTATGTGAACTTCATATCAAAGGAGCAGGCTGCCAATATGGCCCGGGAGTTCACATCATTTGTATTTTGATAAGCCGCTAGATTATGAGCACCAATCGGTGTACAAGGTACATGAGTACCGTCAATTGCACATACACAGTCCTAACCATTTCAAGTAAAAGTTTTGCACATAAGTATCATATAAACATATTTATCGACGTATTATTAAGAAGACCAATGATAGTTAAAAAATTAGATGTAAAAGAGCAACACAATTTATGTTGAACCATTTACCATATCTCTAACAGTTGGCACATAAAAATTCATTAACTTTGTCATAGTTTGGGGGCTTAATGAAATCATTATGTAGTGGACAAATAGCATATAAAACTTCAGTAAATCGACGTGATATGGTCTCATCGGAATGTTGCCATGCGTCATGTGATTCACGATTACTTTAACTTTGTGAAACGATTGTTAAGAACACAAATAATTGTTCAGGTACGCTCATGTTGTATGAGGGTTGTAACAAACCTTTCTCAGTTAGTATTTCATAAAGAATCATAAAATCACATGGTCTCATATGCACCTTGTTAAACATTGCAGTCTCATTATTGTTTGCTAATAGCTCATTTACCTTGTCTATGCCCCTTAAAGAAGAAATTTGCATCGGCCTTCTTACTCTGTCATTAGACACATAAACGGTTGCAGCTGTGGCTGCATCTATTGCAGCCATAAATCTCCGTCGGCGTCTTGAAGACGTTCTTCTATCCCGTTCCTCATTTTCAGGCTACATCCTGTTGGTTCACACTTTAACATATGTCAAGGGATATTCTCTTTCATTTAATTTGTTTATTAAGATTATTAGTATATTGTTAATTTATCTACCTTTTTGTAAAATTAATAGAAAGAATCGAAATATCACATAAAAATATAATTTTAACATTACCATTAAGTTAAACATAAAATGCAATATCCCGTAAAAAATACTACTATGTCAGCTAACAAATTAAAAAGAAGACAACCTGAAGACAACAACACAACTTGCTGTTAAGTTCAACTAGCAGACGTCAAAAGCATAGAAACAACATAACTTGGCATAAAATAATATTGTCTCCAATATTAATCCTAAACTACTCATAAAAATACGCTATTCCATTAAACTACTCATAAAAATACGCTAATCAAATGGAAGTGGCTAACTTTGCTGTGTGTACTCAGCAACAATCTTTCCTCCAATTGTTGTTGTTCATGTTGTTGTTTCATCTCAAACATATTTTTCTTAAAAAAGTACATAGCACACACCAACACAGTCTCATACAATAGTACACAACACAGTCTCATACATCAAAAAATGAATGTAAACGGTACACCATCAAAGAATGAAAATTGTTTTACATCACTCGAAATAAGGCTTACACCCAACAACATAGTACTAAACACTAATCCATGGTCCAATATTAAGAGAAAATTGACCATTTAACATAACTTAACTCTTAAATAGAAACATAGCACCATACATTTAAGGGCTAGGTGGATTGGTATAAGGGTTTGAAGGCTGGTTGAATGGGTTAGGGGGCTGGCTATAGGGGTTTGATGGCTGGTGGAAGGAATGTGGAGGCTGGTTGTACGGATTTGGCCCGTGAGAGAAGTTATGAGGCCGCTAGCGATATGGATTGGGAACCTGATACACAAAGGGAGTTTTTGGCACTTCAACGAAGTCCTTTAAGAAGACCCTCCTAATGGGATCACCCAATTTATGCCTAACTAGCCGCTACGTGGCAGATGCCATTATCTTTTTGAAGGCATGGGCTTGCATATGCGGGTCAATTCTCATTTTTGGGAGCGACGCTAGGATGATATCCGCTTCACTTGGTCCATTGATAGTGTTGTTACTCGACAGGCCCTCTTTGCTTAAACAAATGTCCTCTCGAAAATCGTCGCGCATGTCCCTAACCATTTCAAGCAACTCCACTCGTGAACTGTCATTGGATTTACGTGCCCTTGTTTGTTTCTTTCTAATCACTTGTGAAGATGAGGTGACATTGGTCACATTTCACCTTTCAAGACTTTCCACGTAGTTGCGAAGCTCAATACGAATCTCCCCATCATCACTATTTTGGTAAGGAGCATTCTGGTGGGGTTGTGGTTATTCATCCCCAGCAACAACATCGTCCATTGGCTCTACTTGCGCGACATGGTGATATGCACCTGAACCAGAAGCCATAACTCTTGAAGAGAAAACGGCCGCCAAGTACATCTCATTTAGCTTCCAAGCATGAGTGAACAATGTTTTCGCTTCACGATGTCTCTAACAAAAGTTGAATGAAATTGGTAAGTTTTTTTACACTTAGTTATAAAAGTGTAACCTCTAACTATTATGACTATTGAAGAAGCAATGAATCACACATATTACCTTGTAAAGAGCTGTCCGCAGTTCCTCTAAGCATGTGAAAGTTTTACTGATAAGATCTCACGGTACTCCTGTATGGTTTTGCAACATTTTATACGTTGTGTAAAGATTGCCAAGTTGGCGGTGTTTCTCCCTCAGTCGCTCACCGTCGGGTACATATCCATCGAAAAAAGTGGCCATCTTAACAGTCTATTGGTTGTAGTCACGAGAATCTGATAGCTTCCCGTGGTTTGTGTCATTGTATTCATATAGTTCCTCAAGTAGAAATGCCTCTGCAGCGGGGCTCCAATACAACGGCCTCTCATATGGGTTTTTCCTAGGCATCTGCACATGTATATGACAACCAAGAAGAGTCCAATTCGTGCAAAAACAGGGCACAGACTTACAATGACAATTTAAGAAGCAAAACCACCAAAAAAATCACAACTAAGAACATGAGAGAGAAGCCACTGACAATTTAAGAAGCAAAAACAGTGCACCACCGCACCACACAAGACAAAAAAACTTCTAATATAACCAAGACACTCAAGAAGCGACACATTGTGAAATTTATGTGCATACTAAGAACCCAATCATCTATCTATGCTTCTTATTACACAACAACAACAAAAACTTAAAGAATGCTGCAACATTTCAGAGAGAATTACACAAAACCATACAATTCTACCGAGTTTAAATGTGCTTTTCTACAGTTTATGTTATAGAACTAAGAAGTATATCTATTATCATTTTTTTTAAGTCCTATATGGGAGACCCTAGATCCACTAAAAGTTTGTTTAACATCCCTCATTTACAGTGCCACCAACTTAAGCAGCAAAGTGAAAACAGAGGAATAGCAATCATTCCTCTCTTAACACACAACAAACCAATCGTTAACAAAATCAATTCACTTCCTTATATGTACATAGCACATAAACGCCAAGAAGAGAACCAAGGAGCAGGTTGTTCGAAAATTTTCCCCCAACAACAACCCATAAAACACAAGATGCTATATTCTAATTATAGCAATCTCATTCACAAAAACAACTATATATGCTATATTTTAGTGATAGCACATTCACAAAAAGCCCTAAACCCAATCAGTTCTATCTATATCATTTTCATGCATCTGACAAAAATGTAAAAGAAAAATACCACACATGCTGCCATTCGAACATATCCCATTCCAGCTATTGATCTTTACATACGAATATGAAAATAAAGTGAGGATGACATACCACTACAGAGTTCGAGTCCGACGAGGAGTTGAAGGACACCGCCAGCAAAACTCCAAACACAGATGAAGGACTTTTGTAAATTCCCCGTCTGTTTCCTCTCCGGTGAAGGCGAGAAATGGCCTTACTTTGGTAGTATCGGCGAAATTGGTACCGAATGTGGAGCTTCCCTCGATTGTTCACAATCACCCCTTTACTTGAAGCATTTCTCATCAACTCAGAGAAGAGGAGTCTACCGTGGGTTGGGCTATTTATATGCGAAGAGGAGTCCACCAGGAAGAGGAGTGGAAAATTACCGAAAGAAAAGAAAGGAGAAAAATTAGGAAAGGCTGAGGAGATGCTCTGCAAACTCACGTGAGAAACGCACAGAGAAAGGCTGGAGATTCTCTGGCGAAGAGAGAAATGGTCGGTAGAGTGGGTGGGGGTCATTACTCGGGGGGAGCACTTGGGAACACTGTGCTCTGATTTGGGAACGGGCTGAATCAGGCCCTCCCTGGTTTTGGAATCAGGATCCAAAGTGATCCCAAATGTCACTTCTGACTCTGGGTCAATTGCGTGATTTTGGGCTTCCAAATGTAGAATATTCTCCCACGTGACCCAGAGTCTGGATCCGTAATACAACTTCCAAACGCCACCTTAGATATCACTGAAGTAATCTAGTAGATTAACATCGGTAACCTATTAGATTATGTTGTTCTTTTTGTCCCAGACAAATCACCTGTCCTCTCCAAAAGTGGTTGTCAGCGCTTGAATCAAACTTTGGGCTGTATTTATAGAACACGCCCAGAAATGAACTCCGACAAGGGCTTTAGTAATCTGCAACATTACAAAGAAGTGAGAGGAGGGAAAAAAAAAAAACTAAAACATACAATTAACCTACGACCAGTAAAAATAAAGCCAAATATAGCATATGAGACGAGAATTTAATAAGACCATTTTACAGGGAGAAAAACAACAAAACAGGAAATAAGAACTAATAAATACAAAAAGAAACATAAACTAATAATATAGACAAGATTTTTACCCTTTACATTTTACTCTTGATTAATATATATATATTTTTTACTAATACCCATGCAATGGATATCTGTCCTTTTTTTTCCTAAATATATGGTAAAAACGGGAGAAGGATGCTCCTAACTACAAAAGGTTGAATTATGTTAACAAAGAATTCTTGGTATTAACTTATGTTGCAAATCCTCTTTATGCCATTGTTTTCTTTGAGATGTTTTTGTTGGTTTTATCTGTTTCGGAATTGGGAAAAGGAAAAACCCCTTGTCTATACTCATCTAAGCTGTTATGTAAGAGAGTTTCTCTACATGGTATCTTTCTTAACACCCCAAATTACTCTCGAACAAAGTATTAACAAACTGGTACATGTTATGGGAAAATATAAACATAGAAATGTTCAATAACATTAACACTGATATTTTATTAGTGAATCATTTAAATTAATAACAAGAAGATTAATATATATATATATAATTCTTTCCCATATATTAACAAAAATCTTCCATTTTTATTTTGCTTTCAATGTATGTGATTTTCATATAAAGATCAATAGGAAAACTGATAAAGTTGGATTGTTCATCAACTTATGATTCAACACATGGCCGTTCCAAAATACGTGTTGCACTGAAGAATTAAGCCTTAATTTAATCAAAATTGTTAAATAAAATAATAAAATATTAATTTGATTATATAAAACAATTAATAATTATTTTGATAATTAAATAGTTAATAAATCATTTAAGTAATAATATAATTATTTTATATCATTAAAAATTAAATAGTTATTTTAATTTTTATTTAAAAAATTAATTAGAGTGAATTAAGCAATTATTTTGCGTCAAGAAAATATCACAAATAAATAAATATTTTCCTTTCAAAAAATAAATAAATACTTTTATTTAATTGAAACATAAGGGTATCTTGGTCAATAGTTCCACCCCTTTACAGTTCATCAAACAAAACAAAAATAATAATATTTCATGATACAATTCCAAAGTCTCAACCAAAAAAAAAAAGAGTCGTTTGGGACCTATAATCAAATTCCATTTTCATTACAATCACCATTTCATTAAGAATTCAATTATGCAATCAAACGCAAGGCTTAGCACTAAACAAAACCAACTTTAAGTGTGAATCATCACCTAAATTCAAAAAGGAAAAGTGAGTCACCCTTCAACTTGAGAGATTAAGAAGAATCTTGTATGTCTGATGACTAATACCATTTAGTTCTATAGCCTTCTAGGTCATTGACTCATTGGTTTCAAGCTAAACAGATTCCTTGTTTATCCACAACATCAGCAGAAAGCTAACAATAATAAATGATTAATTATAATATAAAAAAACTTTTTTTAAAGGAACATAATAAAACTAAAACAACGGCCATCTCTCACTTTTAACTGAAGTTGAATAAAGACTCCGTTTATTTCGGTCGTTTAGTTCAGTTTAACTCAGTTTGAGTAATAAGCACAGTTTAAACCAGTATTTAATAAGTATGTAGTTTAAATTATATTCCTCGTTTAAATTGAGTTAAACAATCCAATTTATAGTTTAGCTCCCCTCTCAAATTTAATCTTTTAACCCATTTTTAAACAGTAAAAAGATGTCCACTATTTTTACTTTTTATACATACTAAACACAAATTTAAAGTTTAAATTATGTTCAAATTAAAACTTTAATTACATATTCAAACGCCAATTTAAATTACAATTTAAACTAAATGGTTTGAATTTTTCTATTCAAATTAAAAAGTTTAAATCAACAAAATTTAAATTAATTAATCAAATGGGAGCAAAGTTTTATGCGCTTTTTGAACCAGAAAACAAACAATGAAAAAACGGCCATCTTACTTTAACTGAAGTTGAATCAAATGTTGGAAGATAAGTTTTAGCACTTTTTGAATCAGAAAACAAACAATGAAGAAAGAAATAATTTTCAAAATCGACTGAATAGATATGCATGATGAACTAACCTGACATAGACTATTCACCACTACAGTTTTGAGAATTGTTTTTATTTTTTTTTTATTTTTTATTTTTTTTACTTTTGCACTATTTTGTTGGTTTGGATAAGTCAAATTATCACCGACCCTTGAGGCAATCCAAGATTCAAAAAGTTGGCCGGTCCCAATTGCATATCAATTTGGGAATTTGGATGGACCACTCACCCATTGTGTAAGGATGATAAATTCCTTTTAGCTCAACATTTTCTTTTTCTTTTCCTTTTATTTTTTTATTATTTTTAAGAATATTATCACTGGTGTATGTTAAATTTTGAGATCATTCTTAATTTACCTTTTAAATTATAAAAAATTTTACTTTACACCATAAATTTTGAATTAATCTCATTTAAAATTCAGAAAATAAAATAAGAGCTTTTAAGTTTAAAGACCAAACTATAATTATTATCAAAATTTAAGAGGTACCGATAATAATAATCCTTACTTTTGTTTTCTATGCTAAAATCTTTAGATAGTGTTGTTGATAACCCTGAATTCGTGAACGACATTGCAGAGAGCAAAATTTATAGTTAGACTGTTATCAACGAGTAGCAATCGATTATTGGGAGTCAACGAAAAGTATGAACGAAGTTTATTTATTTTTTTATTTTTCTAAGGTAAATGCATTTGAAAACATGAAAATACAAATACTTGATACAAATGACCTCGCAATACAACAAAACTTAACTCGACCACACCAACGCGTGAGGCCGCATGTAAGTGCCAACAACCACTACTCCTGACACACCCAGTGACGGCGCCAATCTTTTTTAACAAATTATCTTAATGAGGACATATAAAAAAATATATTTATTTTAATGGAGACATATATTATTTCAATAGAATGTTAAGTGTAAAATTTTTAAAGGTAATATTTAAAAAAAAAAAAAATTTGAGTGGGTGCGGGATAAATCCACCACTGGACACACCTATCTCCCAGAAAACCACCTCACCACGAAGCCAAGATCTCCAAAGGCGCATCCCCTCTGGTGACCACATGCGTCTCACGCAAACATAAGCAACGACAGAGCCACTCTCAACACCACAAACTCAAAGAACGGAACCAATCACAAACGGTGGGGATCCAGTAGAGCTCCAAAGAAGTAGACGCAACGCCAACAACCACCCAATACAACCTCGTCAAAAACCCATCTCCATTAATGAGAAGTCCAAACCACCATCCCTAGGGCCGGATCCGATGGCAAGTTGGAACACTGTTGTTAGATTCTGGCTTGAGGAGAGAGCCATACAACGACGTTAGCAGTAGTAGAAAACTCGCAGAAGAGAGAGAGAGGGAAACCCTAGCCACTAACACGTTCAGTCTTGTGGGTTTTACTATGTAATGAACATGGTGGTAATGACGTATCAAACTCTGTTAATGATTTCCTAAATCGTGGTAATGACTCCCTATTTATATGGATCTGTATGTTTCGAGTGTGATATGCTCCTCTTGAATAAGATTCGTTTCTTATTTTTTTTATTGGAAGGCTTAAGTTTGTTGTTTTGACCAGGGTCCATTCGGTATGTTGGATATATATATATATAAAGGACTTTCTCCAGTAGGCTTCCTTACGGGCACTGAATCTAATCAAAGTCACATCAGATTAAAAAATATGTACAACAGACAGTTTCATATATAAATTTGATGGCTAAAAACTAGAAAACTACCAGCACAGAACTATCGATAATTTATTTTTTCTAGTCCTATCAAAAAACGCTCTAAAAAAAATAAAACTTCTGAAAGAAAGTTGCACATTTTTTTAAAACTTTCTCAATCTTAATGACTAGTAACTTATACTTGATTATTTAAGGACCTTCTCCAATGGGTCAGCCTACCAATAATATAGAATAAACAGTTTCTAATATAGATATGACGGCTATGAAGTAGACAACTACTTGTAATACATTTTTTAGGTCCTAGAAAAACTCTCTATATTTTAAGATTATCAACAAAGTTATTAGCTAAACTGTAAGCATAATGGTATTTTAGTCCTTGTACTCTTTTTTTTTTAGATTACTCATTATCTTTTTTGTATTCTTTTGACAATAGTTATTCTTGATACTAAAATTGACAAAAAAATTTAAAAATTTATTAGAGATAGTCATATCCCTATCACTTAATAAATGCAAATTTCACACAAAAGGTTATATAAGTGTAAAGTGTTCTAATATTTAAGTGTTTTAATCATAGGAAAGTAAACATTTTATTTGTATTCTTTTGACAAAATTGACAAAAGATTATTCGTTATTAATCTTTTTAGATTACTCTTTATTTGTTTTAATCTTTGGTCCTTGTACTTTTTTTTTTGTAGATTATCCTTTATTTTATTTTGTATTCTTTGGACAATTGTAATTCTTAATACTGAAATTGAAAAAAAAAAATTTAAAATTTAACAGAGAGAGTCACATCCCTGTCACATAATAAATACAAATTTCACACAAAAAGTTACACTTAAGTTAAAATGTTCTAATTTTCAAGCATTTTAATTTTAGGAAAAAAAAAAAACATTTCACACTTAATGAAATAATTTTTGTAAAATTTTGAAGTTATCTCAAGATGGGTGACAATATTAATTTTCAGAACTCATCCGTCAATTGGTGGAGACCAAAACTACCAAAATCTAAAAATTAAGGAGTAATTTAGTTGACAAGAAAAAAATAGGATTAGTATGTCAAATTATTCATAATTCAAAGAAAGCAAGTTATACTTATAGTTGTATGGTTATATGAGCTAACAATTGATTGTTATTGGTTGATATATTAGCTTTCATTTTTATTTAACCGTTAATACATTGTTCTTTTTAAATTATTTTAATTTTAAAAATTTATTTTTACAAGCTTCAAAGTTAAATAATTTATGACAAAAGTTGATAATATTTGAAATAACGTATTGAAGTATAAAATAAAAAAAACACATCAAATATATCATCTTTACATTTTTTTATTAGTAAAATATAGCGTTGACAATTGTGTCGGAGGTGGTCTTATCTAACAACCTAACACCGACAAGGATTCTCAAATTGAAGTAAAATGGACATTTCATGCCTCAGTTGTGACCAATTCTATTGGCGGAAGAAAGATCTGCAAAGAAAAGCAAATTACATGGTACTAGATTGTAGTTTTGAAAATTACAAATTCATTTGCGAAAAAAGTCGGAAACATAATAGAGATTATCATTATTATTCCTATGAAATTATGTAATTGAGGGACGTGATGCTCTTGTTAACCTCTAAGGTAATGGATGGTCAGAATGCTTCTGTTCTTTCTGCTATTTGGTCTTCGAATTGGGACAGTCTCTTCCTTTGGGGGTGGGGTGGGGGGAGTGGTTTTCAATTAGGACCCTTACTGGTGGAGGAAATGGACCACCAATTTTGATCATCTCATTACTATTGGACCGACCGACCAGCCTTGTGATACCAAAATAGCAATAGATTTTTTTTTTTTTTTTTTTTTTTTTTTTTTTTTTTTTTTTGGGTGGGTAGCTATACAAATTCGATTAATGGAGCTAACTAATCTTTATGGCATATTTGAAAAGAACAATAAAGTAAGGCATTATATTCTTTGAGAGGATGGGGGCTGCATAAGCATATATTCATAAGACTATTAAGGAGATAAAAGACTCAAACTTAGAAAAAGAAGTTATGATGATGATAGCATTAACTCGCTTTAAAATAGAATCCAAATTTATTTAAAAAAGAAAAAAAAAGGATTTTTGATTCCAGGTGGTTTAATTAATTGAGTAATGGAATAATTGTTGTATAAATCAATCCGTTGTTTGAATAACGGTAACTCAAATTCTAAATTTTATGTACCAATTAATATGACATGTTAATTGTCATCTTTTTATTAGTAGATATAATGTTTTATTATTGATTGACGTGATAAGGGAGTTTTTTTTTTTTGAGAGAGCGTGACAAGATTTTAAACATCCACTAATGTAAAAACTGCAACTTACATGTCACATCAGTTAGTACACAAGAGTTAATACATAAGAATTAAAATTTAAGTCGGTGTTCCTGACATTAGACCGACTCTGTTAAATTTTTTGTCTAATATTGATTTGGACGTCGTTGCAACGTCCCATTTAAGAATTCCATAATATGATTGTTAAAATTAAAAAGATTGAGGATCAAATTTGTCTACCGCTAAATAGTTTGAGGACCACTAGTCTTAAAAGACTGAAAAACAGAACAGAAAGGCCTACTTTTCAAGATCCAGCTAAAAGACTTTCACGTCCCCTTTGAAATATATAGAATGCTAGTAGACAGCGGACACAACGACAACATTAACCAAGAAGGAGAAGCAAATTTATGGTTGTCAACCTCATTTGCTAATTATTTTGATTAATTAGGCCCAGAGAGAGCTTGAGAAGTCAGAATCATATTGCCACGAAGCAATTAATAAGTGTGTGTATAAATGGAAGGTCCATTAAATAATATCGGAGCAGCAGCATCAAATTTATTATTCTTTTTTTTTTTTAAAAGAGTTACATCAAATTTAAAAGAAGTGGACTGTGAATATTTCTGTCCTTTCCTCACTATTATAATAACTCATGGAAATAAATTTTCTGTTTCTGTTTCTGTTTCTTTTCTTTTTCTTTTTTTTTAGGGGCAGTTTTCTGTTTCAGTCAAGAAGGAAACACTCAAAAGCCTGCTTGTACTGGGATTTTCTTTTGTAATTAATAGGGAAATATCTTTTAATGACTATTACCGGCTTCAAATCTTGAAATTTGGAAAGAAAAATTGAAAGTTAGTGGGGCAATTTCCCTCTAAGAGCCAGCACTAGCGTGCATAAATAGATGCTTACTATTTCCAGGTCGGTTTCATTACCTTGTGGTTGAAAAAGAAAAGTTTTCAGAAAATCATGCACCAAAATTGGATAGACATTCACATGGGAAAAGATAAAACTTTGAGCCCAATTGCTGCTTATAAAAGTAAAATAATAGCCAAAGGGAGACCATCAATATCAATCAATTCCACAATAAGTGCAACATTTTACCATGGTTTGGTTTGTAAAACTAAACGAGTTTGGAAAAATAGCCAATTTTTATGGTAGGATAGAATTTTTTTACCAGTAAAGTTATTGGCTCATTCGATTTTTTAATTTAAACTGAGATATGACTTTATATGAGAATTTTTAACTGTAACAGAAAAAGTTAGATTAATTTTTTATGATAATTTTTAACTGTAACAAAATTAAAATTAAAAATTCGAATCGATTAAATGAACAATGCTTTAACTGTTGAATTAACTTTTTAACAATCAGATATGTGAGAATCGATGTTAAAAATTTGATTACAGATTTGACTGTTTAAAAAATTAATTCAACAATTAAAACAGCATTATCTATCATAAGGCAAAAAAAAAAAAAAAAAAAGATAAGGTACTATTTATGTGTTCTATTTATTATCATCGGTGATAAAGTATTTTTGCTTTTTTTTTTCTTTTAAAGTGGAGAGGTACATTTTTTTTTCTTTGAAGGTTTTATATTTATGTTTTACTATATAAGCAATATTAATCCCGCACAACTTACTGTATGAGAGCGTAATAGTGGACCCAAAGTTCACGTGCTCTCTAATTATATGTTCTCATTTTCCATATTTTTAGGTTACCAACAACTAAAAAAAAAAAAAGAAAGAAATGTGAAATAAATAAAAAAAGAGGGCGGCGTGGTTTTGGCAAAAATATTCTTCTAGTTTTTATTTTTAATTATGCCCAAGTCAGTTTTAACTTTTGTTCATTAATCTATCGTCTCAAACGTTACATCTTAGTGGAGTTAATCACCAACAATACATTTACTGCATTTCCATATATGTAAAAATTAAATATTTAGTATTTAGTAACCTATTTATTATGAAATCCAAATTGATTCATTTTACTACTAACTTTTCCAACGTGGTAACCGTTAATTTTACTACTAACTTTTCCAAATGAGGTGACAAGAGTTTAATTGTATATGAAATACCACACATATATGATATACCCGCATGAAAATTCACTAGGACATGATAAATTATTAATATTTTCATATGGGAATGATAAATACAAGATAACAGTGTGATAAAATGTAAATCTGATAAATGTTAAGAAACCAATGTTTGACAACGTAATAACCCAATAATAGAGTACTTAAAACTACACCATTGAATTTCATCAAAAAAAAAAATAAAAACAAAACAAAACAAACAAAAGTACACCATTGAAACAAGTAGAGTACGTTTAGTTGGAGGATTCAAATTATAATTTGAATCATGGTTCATGATTCATTACAGTGTTTTTTCTCATAAAAAATACATATAAATAAAAAATAATTCTAATCACATAATTTTAATCTATGAACCAAACGTCTCCGTAGAATTTTGTTTCTTGGTCATTGGAGATGGAACATTGTGTGATCGATGTACTTAGAATAAAGGCATGAACAAACAAAAAAATAGCGTGACGAATTCTACTAAGAAGACATCGTGGGTGTCGCAATATTTGACGCACTGAAACCATTGGACCATCACTCTTCAGCTTCCACAACAGTCAACAAACAACCAAATGGATTCTCTCTCTCTCTCTCTCTCTCCCTCTCTTCAGTTACTCTCGCAAAAACTCAGAGCCAATCATCTCTCATTGCTCCCTCTTGTCATAACAAAGCCCCTGTAATTTGTTGACACATGCAAAGCAAACATATCCAGTCTTTATCAGCGAGGAAAAAAATCAAAACCCAGAAAGGAGGAAAAAAAAAATCAAAACCCAAAAAGCACACTGAAAATAAAAGGAACCAACCATTATTCCCATCCGTAGATTTTAAATATATACATGCATATCCACACAACTATAAAAATGTGGTTAGAGGCCTAATACAAAGTACCACATTTGTATGCCATTTTTCCATCATACTCTGCCTCTTTCTTGCCTCCTTTGAACCCACACAAACAAAAACAAAAACAAAAAAAAAACAAAAAAAGAAGAAGAAGAAGAAAGAAAAAAATGGCATACTTCTTCCTAATCTTTCTTTTGCCCTTGGCCATGGCCTCCGGGGCACATCTCCGGCCGGGTTACTACTTGGAAACGTGCCCGAAAGCCGAGTTTATCGTCCGAGACGTCATGAAAAAAGCTCTGATCAGAGAACCCCGGAGCCTTGCCTCTGTCATGCGCTTCCAATTTCATGATTGCTTTGTGGATGTAAGTCTAAATACATGTTTTGAAATATTTCTCACTTAAAATTTTCATTTTTTTTTTTCGTATAAAAATCCCCTTTTTTTTTTTTTTGGGGTGTACTAAAAATATTTTATTGTTGAAAAGGGTTGTGATGCTTCCATGTTGTTGGATGACGCACCAAACATGCTTGGAGAGAAACTTGCTCTCGCAAATATAAACTCTCTGAGATCTTATGAAGTCATCGATGAAGCCAAAGAAGCAGTTGAGAAGGCCTGCCCTGGAGTTGTTTCTTGCGCTGATATCTTAATCATGGCTGCTAGAGATGCCGTTGCTTTGGTAAAAACTTCCTTTTCATTTTTACCCTTAACGTTTTTTTTCAAAAAAAAAAAAAAATTTCTTTCATTGGTACTATTTACAAGACGTAATAACACTCTCTGTTTCAATAGGATATTGGGTGGAAAAAAAAAAACATAAAAAGGTGCTACTCAAAAGGTCACTTTAAGGATCACACCCAGAACCTGTTTAGGAGAAATTTTTTGCAAAAAAGTTTGTTATTTTTTTTTTTAACATATTCACACCGAATTGAAGGAAAAACCAGAAGAAATTCATATTCAAAAGGTACTAAAAACCATATCCCACAGCTTGTTTACCAAAAATTTTCGTCAAACAAGTTTTTTATTTTTAAGCAAGAAAATTAAGAATATGTAATAAGACACTGTTTCATTGGAGGAAAAAAAAAACATTAAAAAGTGCTATTCAAAAGCTTAAAGGATCACACCCAGAACTTGTTTAGGAGAGATCTTTTGTAAACCAGGTTTTTTTTTCTTTCTTTTTTTTTTTTTCCTTTTTTCCCCCTCTGAATAACGACATATTCACATCGCAATCCAGGAAAAACCAGAATAAACTCGAATTCAAAATTTAAAGACCATAGCCGACAAGTTTTTTAGCACGAATTATTGTCAAAACTAGTGTTTTCTTTGTTTTGTTTTGTTTTGTTTTTGTTTTGGTAATTTAAAAACGACATCTTGAGACTAAAAATTCTTTGCTGAACCAGACCGGAGGACCTGACTGGCAAGTGAAGCTAGGAAGACTAGACAGCTTATCAGCAAACCAAGAGCTATCAAACGACATCATGCCAAGTCCAAGATCCAACGCCAGTTATCTCATTGATCTCTTCAAGAAATACGACCTTTCAATCAAGGACCTTGTTGCCCTTTCCGGGTCCCACTCGATCGGCCAAGGCCGATGTTTTTCGATCATGTTTCGACTCTACAACCAGTCCGGAACCGGCAAACCGGACCCGGAAATTGAGCCAAAGTTCAGAGAAGAACTCAACAAGCTTTGTCCAGTAAATGTTGACCAAAATGTGACAGTAGATTTGGATGCAACACCACGGATATTTGATAACCAGTACTTCAAGGACTTAGTTTCCGGAAGAGGGTTTCTGAATTCTGATCAAACTCTCTTCACTTTTGAAAAGACAAAGCCGTTTGTGAAGAAGTTTAGTGGGGACCAAAAACGCTTCTTTGAGGCCTTTGTTGAAGGGATGATAAAGATGGGTGATTTGCAATCTGGGAAGCCTGGGGAGATCAGAAGGAATTGCAGGGTCGCCAATAGAAGGCCACTGGAGAAACTGAGGGAGTATTAATGAGAAGGAATTTACAAAACTACATTTCAAAAGCTTAATATGGACCTGTTTAACAGAGTTTTTTGTTTTTTGTTTAGTAGAAGAAGTTTTTTTTTTTAGTAGAAGAAGAGAAATAATATCTTTGACTTTTAGTATGGGTTTGAAGCCATATCTTAACCGTGTTTAAATTGTTCAAAATGATTTTTAAATTTTTAATACGCAATAAAAGAGTTAGAATGAAGTTTATAGGGCGCGTTTAGAACTCGTTTTAAAATGATTTTATTTTTTTGTATGAAAATGAAAATAAAAACGTATTCAATCTCAAACAGAAATTATTTTTAAAAATACGTTTGGTAATTTTATCAAGAGATTATTTTCAGTGTAAAAAAATTCATTAATGTCTCTTTCTCTCTCTGCTCTAGAGAAGAGAAAACAAAAATAAAAAATGAAAAACGACTTTCATTTCTCTATCATTTTACACTAAACTAAAAAATCATTTTTATTTCTGTTTTTTGTCTTTATTACGCCAAACTCCGTTTTGGAAACATTTTTATTTTTTATCTTGAAAAACGTGAAAAATAAAAACAGAATCAATTTCAAATACATCCATAATGTCTTAATAAAATTCTGATACAACTTTTAAAGTTTATTTAGATTTTGTTTTAAAAGCTATTTTATGTCTTTGACTAGAAGTTTTTATACAAAGTCAAAGATTTTACGGATCATCTAACTACTTTCAAGAGTAACTTTTGAACTTAAAATGCGAAAAGCGGCTTTTAGAAACTTTTGTTAAACAGACTCTTAGAGTCTGTTTAGTTCGTTGATTTGAGTTTTTAATTCGAGTTAATATGTGATTTTATGCGAGAGCTTTTTATTGTAGTAAAAAATTTAGATGTAATTATTTTTAAAAGTTTTTTACTGTAGTAAAATTTGAATTCTAAATTTGAATCAGTGAAATGAACGGAGCGACGTTTTTGAAAAAGTCAAGTTGCAAGACGAAAGCACTAAGTAGACCATTTAAGAGTGTTTTGTGTGACATTGGGATGCTCTCCACAACCTCATATAATGAAGTCATGTTCTTTTGAATATTTTGTGTTTTATTTGACAATGTCAGAACCACATCTTATTTATAATATTGGTCTTGTTACTAGAAGCAGATATTGGTTGAACGCCCGCATTAAGTCCATTTCAGCTTTCTTGTTGAATTCAATAAAAAAAAAAAAAAAAAATGCACTTTCTATGGAAATAGAAAGTGGCCTTTGCAGAAAAACTTGGAACAATTTTGCTTCAATACTCTATGCACATAATAAAACTCTGTCCCCTTCACAAGTAGTAGAAGACAAACTGAATTTGACGTCTACCTAAACTACCTTTTGGAAGTTTCGGATGGCCTAGTGCCAAATAACAACCATTTTTCGGGAGAGAGAGAGAGAGAGAGAGAGAGAGCCAAACAACAACCATTTTTCTGGAGAGAGAGAGAGACTTTGAAGGACTCAAGACTGTGGTCCATTCCACTTACTGGCCCGGAAAGACTTTGACACAGAGAATTGGCATTGTCGTGGGCTCCATGTCTAGCGTCCCACATTGTTCCAATGGCTAGGCATTTGATACTTCATATTGGAACCCCTTTTAGCCACTTACTTTGTATCGCACTTGTTGTAGATTTAATATTAAAAGGTCAATCTGTTAAGTATTAAGTATAGTGATATAATGCATTTACTATTTATAAATTTATGTATATACATATATATATAGATAATTTCTTATTACCTAGAATTTGAACTTTTTTCTTTCGAGTAGATGAAAGTATGAGGTTCATAATTTGACAGATTATGAAACACAATGTCGCAGATTATGATTGGAGGACAGTGACCAATGTCGGAACTGGAGACAATTTGTTTTTTTTTTTTTGTTGCTAAAAATAGAAAACAATCTGACAGATTATGAAACATAATCTGATAGATTATGACCCTTGTTAACGTCTGTGATCTGTACCGGAGCCATAGACAACAACTTATTTTTTGGTTGAAATAAAAAAATCTCACAGATTATGAAACATAATTAGCTAGATTATGGCTAGTGACCGACGACCGATGCCGGAGGCAGCGTATCATTATTTTGGTAAAAGAAAATAATTTGGCAGATTGTGTTTCATAATCTGCTAGATTATGGCCAGCGATCGGCGATTGAGAGATGGAGTTAGAGATAACCTATGAAACATAATCTACTAGATTATGTCTAGTGACTGGCAACTGAATGACAGAGCCGTAGACAACCTATTATTTTTTGGTGAGAATAGAAAAATAGTTTGGTAGGTTATGAAGCATAATCTGAGAAATTATGACTAGCGCCGACGATCGATGCTGGAGTAAGAGACAACATCTCCTTTTGTTAGCTTAGTGTTACATATTTAACGGAATCTGTGAAACTTAGGGACCAAAATTAGAAACATATAAGGATTAGGGACTAAAACAATACAAACAAACAAAATTTAATTTAGATAGTCCTAAAATTTTAGCATGTTCCAATTTTGATCCTTAGTTTATACAGATTCCATCAAATTTTAACATCTAGTTAACAGAAAGACTGAGACTGATACAAAATAAAATCTCAGGGACCAATTGTGTGACGTTTAAAAAGTCATGGACTAAAATGGAATTGGAGGTAAACTTTAGAGACCATTTGTGGAATTAACCCTTTTAATTCTAATTTCTTTGGTATTCTAAATTTTATTTGGATCACACCTCAAATTAACTCAATTTAAAATTTTTAGTTCAAATTAAAATCCTTTTTAGTTTCAGAATTCAAATTGTGTGATTTGAATTCCACTTGAGACAAATTTCTTCTTATGCATTAGGAGCTAAAAGAGAGGACCATACAGCCCATAAAAATCTGCCATGGCTATCACGGTTTTGTAAGAATTCAGAATATGTTTTTTAGTTGGTTTTTGGTTTATCTCTTTTATCTCTATAAATACCTTATAATTTTTTTGTTTTAACTCTAATTGATGTGATTCTTCTTCCTATACATTCAGAGCGAAAAATATGAATAAACCCAGATCCATATAGCCTGGGCAATTCTGTCATGAATATTGAGTTTTTGTAAGATTTATTATTAAACTCAAATAAATTATTATTTTCAACACTTTATCCAAACATAGATTCAAATTTAATCCTTAGTTCAAATTATAATTTATTTGGTATCCAAATTTTATTCGGATCGCAATTCAAATCACCTCAGTTTAAAATTTGTAATTCAAATTAAGATATTGTTTAACTCAAGGATTTGAACTGTGTGATTTGAATTCTGCCTAAGACAAATTTTCTTCTTGTGCATTAGGATAGAAAGAGAGGACCATACAACCAATAAAAATTTGTGATGGATATCACAATTTTGTAAGATCCCATATTATGTATTCGATTGATTTTTTGTTTATCTCTTTTATTTTTATAAATACTAAATCTTGAAATGCCATAACTTTTGTTTCAAATTCGATTGGGATGATTATTTTTTCTATGTATTCGGAGCAAAGAGAAAAAATCCCCATCCATATAGTTAGTGAAGATCTCTAGTGGACATTTACATTTTATAAGATTTGTTAGAAAACACTGAAGTGGCGATTGAACTGTTTTGGCATCACCACTATACCTATTAAATATGACAATGTTCAGTGAAAAATAACACAATCAATATGGATCTTGTTTTGTCATGTTTCATCGCTACAAACATATATAAAAAAAAAAAATCATCTCAATTTGAGATCACAATGTAAACTTACGACTTTTTTAAAAAGATATAAACATCCTTCAACATTACGTTATATAGGTAGTAATATACCTACTAAATATGATAATGTCCTTGAAAAAAATATATAGCCAATATGGATTTTTTTTGTTCTATTTATCGCTACAAACACATAGAAAGAAAAATCGTCTTAGAGATCAAACGGTAAAATTATGACTTTTTAAAATTCCATAAATATTGTTCTATCTCATGCAATACTATACCAACTGAATCTGACAATACTCCGTGCAAAATAACGTAGTCAATGTACATCTTATTTAATCGTTGTTATAAATACATAGAGAGAAAAATTGCCACAATATGAGATCTAACATTAAATATTACTTCACCCAAAACTATCACTAACCGACACATATCAATATGTTACTGTGTCGTTTGGGCTTCACAAAAGTGCAATAAAGCGGATTGAAAAAGCGATAAAAATCCTTAGAAAATGACTTTCATGCCTTGTACCACCTCATGTATTTACAAAAAGCCACATGCATAGTACTAAAATAACCGGTTGAGGACGTCCAAATACATAAAGATGCAATAACGGGTTGACCTGGCCCGATCCGTTCTCTTTAGGTTCACACGGGCCGTGGGCTGGGTCGGTCTGTATAAGAATGATCTCCGCCCAGTCCACATTATGAGTCAATTTTATATGGGTCAAGTTGGGCCGTGCCGCGAGTCAGGATAGGTCGTGTCATGAGCCTTGAATGAGCTGGCCCACTCAAGGCCCATCTAAACCCATGATGGGCCAACTCATCTAAGCATACAATTTTCAATTTTTTTATTTTTTAAACAAGTTAACAAATTTATAAGTCTGAATAGTCAATGGAAATATAAAAATGGATATTTTATTTATGATTACCTCATTAAATAAAAACCTTTCTAAGGAAAACCGAATGAGACAAAACCTTGGTAAGAAAAAAAAAATATAATCAGGATAATTATACATAAGATATTGATAAAAATACAAAAAAAAAAACATGAAGATATTATGGGTCTAGATGGACTGGGCTGGGCCGGTCCATTATGGGCCCAGATGGGCCGGGCTGGGCCGGCCCATCATGGGCCTAGACGGGCTAGCCCAGCCTGGCCTGACCCATGATTTTTCATGGGCCGTGCCGGGCCGACCCATGGACCTATATATGTTGGCTTAGCCCAACCCACAAATATTTATGAGCTGGGCCGTGCCAGTGATAGACCGTGCTGGTCCAGCCCATCACTATGTCAAGATGGGCCTGGGCCGGCCCACAGACCCGGCCCATTGTTGCATCTCTACAAATACAATGACCTTCTCATCGAATAATACTTCATCCTCCCAGCCAACAGCATTTGCGCACGTACGGCCGAATCGAAACGGCGGCTACACTATAGAACGAGCCTATATAGATATTACTCAATGAATGGTGAAAGACAGCAAATGTTGCATAGAGTGAAATTGGAAGGCTAGAAGCAAAGAGCTTGTTTTTACTATATCTAGGAATTAAAATTGTGTTCGTTTCGGGGAAAGAAATGAAAGGGAAATAAAATGGGCTAACTGTGATTTCTTTTTTTTTTTCTTTTTTCTTTTTTGATATGCTGCTGGTGTTTAGCTGGTTTTAATACAAGTAATTGTCATTCCAAAAAGAATTAGTGCATGTTTGATAAAAGGGTTCAAACCCGATTCAAATAATTATGTTATAGTGTTTTTTCTTACAAAAATTTAAATTTGATTTGAACTCATGAACCAAACGGACATTTTTCCTTTACTATGATTGCCCTTATTTGAGCACCATAAACTACATCGAGCTTTAACCAACTCTGGTAGCTTCTATAATGATTTGACTTTTCAGACCGCTACTTATTGAGGTTCGACTTCATCTACCAATTATAATCATACACATAGTACCAAGTTTTGTATGGTTCAAAATGATCGGTCATTACTTGCTTGATACTAAGGACATTTTCATTTGATTGTCACCTGCTTCTCGACTATCATCAGTCACCCAGCCATATCATCGGAACTCGACGAGTCACCAACCTGAATACTCGATGACCACCCATTGGCTTACTTGCCACCTAGTCTCGTTCAATTGACTACTTGCTAGTTGACGAGTCACCAACCTGAATACTCGATTATCATTTGAGATGAATACACAAGATAAGCTACCGTATCCGCACTTTACGGAGCCGTTCCTACTATCACAGACGTGTCCACCATAACGATTATAAAGAGGACGTGAAAGATGAGTTCGTGGTAACCGCCCACTAATTCATACCACTACTTTGTGACTTCTCTATAACAAGAAGAAGGATGGTAATCAGAAAGGTAATCTCTCCATCCGACCTCTATAAATAGAGGAACAACACCCTTTAGAATGGACGTTATGCCATTTTATTTACTGTCACTCTCAAGAAATTTATCTAGAAATATTGCACTCGAATAACTTTGTAAGCCTCTGATTGAAGATAGTGACCAACCCAACAATAGATATAACCCATTCAAGAGTGAACCGCTATAAATTCTGACTTGGTTATTTATATCGTGCACTCACAAAAGTTTGCAAAACTGCTTAAGCTTTGCACAAACCACTAGAAAAGATGATAGGCAAAGGAACGACGTGAGGGAAGTTGCCCATGATGAAGATCTACTCCGTGAGATCTCCAATTGCGATACGGCAATCCGTGGTAACGATCACTGACAGGAGGTCGAGTAGGCCGTGCAATGCTCCTCATCGCGGCAATCGTTTGGCCTCACGACAGCGACGACAACAACAATGGTGAAGAGTAGCATGAGATTTTCTAGAGAGAGACAGAGAGAGGCAATGTGATGAGAGAATATTTCTCGTTTTATTTCAATTTGATATACAGGGATAACTTCGGAAATTTAAGTGACTGTAAATTTGGATTTACACATTGATGGCTTATTTATTAACTATTTGCAAATCTTTGGCCTATTAATTTTTATTTCTCTCTTAGTTTAGCCTATTTCCCTCCTTCTCCTTACAGAGTAATACCAATAATCTAGTCGGGATGGGAAAAAGCCTGTGTAAAGTTCCTAGTAATTATATCTATATTCTCTAAAACCAGAGCCAGATCTTGCAAATCCTTGAGAGCAAGATCTTGCAAATCCTTGTAAATCCAGATCTTGCTAATACCACAGCCAGATCTTGCAAATCCTTGAGAGCTATCAAGAATGTCCACGGGTTAATTAATATATTAATATATAAACATATGAATCTTCTCTTTAGCCACTAAACCTAAGATCTAATTATTAAAATAAAATGTTAAAAATAAAAGAAGGCACATCAAAGGAAAATGACGTACTTCTTATCTAGATTCTTAACAGAATAAATTACGCTTTATTGCACCGTTATTGAATTGATTTGCAACTCAATAATAATTTTTAACTAAAAAAAGGCTATAATTGGACCTCCAAATATAATATTAATAGATACATAACACTGTCCACTAAAAAGTGTTCCCGTCTAGATTACCGCATAAAGGCTAATACTGAAGGCACGTTTTAGCAAGCTCTCCATACTATTAATACGGATATATATATATATATATATATATATATATCAAATTCTCATGATTATCTTTAACAGTTTGATCAGGCTGATAGGAGCTTAATTTAGTTTACGCAAACTTTGTCAATTGTCATACAGATACCGACCACATGAATTTAGAATATACTTGTACTATTATATAATAAACTAGGCCCACGCCTTAAATATATTTTAAACTTTAAAAATAGTAGAAAATAGGTCAATATGAAAAATTTTAAAAAGTGTATAGGCCAAGTTTTAGTTATAAAAATTAATAGATCATAACTTGTTAAGTTATGATTCATAACCAGATAAGTTATGGACAAACTTGTCAGGTTATGGTTCATAACTTGTCAGGTTATGGTTCATAACTAGACAAGTTATGGAAAAAAACCGTGAATTATGGACAATAACTTGTCAAGTTATGATTCATAACCAGACAAGTTATGGACAAAAACAGTAATTTAACTTATTTATTAACTTATGTAAATTATTAGCCTATTAATTTTAATTCATCTCAAGTTTTAATATATTTTCCTCTTTCTCCCATTTTTTTTTCTTCATTACTTTGGTGGAATGGATAATGGATAGCACAAAACTCAGATTATTATTATATAAAAATTTGGAAAACTTTTATAACCAAGGAACAACAACATTATAAACATATAAACACCTAAAAACGGCAGTTTGTACACAACAAAGAGAAAGAAAGCTTGCAAGAAAAAGGAAATTATGATCATTTAGAAGAGATAATTGGATCCCCACAAGACGTGAAGGGAATGCCCTTATGCTCTTCAACTTCTCTTTTTTTTTTTTTTTTTTTTTTTCCTTTTTTTTATTATTTATTATTTGACCTTTAAAAAGGTGCATGTATAATGATACACTTGCACTCATAAGGCACAAACAAAATCCCCACTCATCTCTATATCGTCTATGTCAGCATCAGCATCTAAATCATCAAGATCCATACTTCCTCCAAGAAATTGCCCTCCAAGTTTTGGACCCTCAGCTGGGGTCCTTGCCTCTTGAATTATGGACAATATTTCTTCCACGCTTTGTGATGAGTCATTTTCTTTCGCATTTTGTAGGGCACCTTCCCCTCCATCCATGAATTCTATCGGCAAGTTCTTTAGGAACCATGGGTGCTTTTTAATTTCCGGGATCGTTATTCTCTAAAAAAAAACACAAAAAACAGAACAAAGTTTAACCCTGATGTGGGGAAAAAACCATTTAACAAAAATCTCCAATATCATCAATGGTAACACAAATATAAAATTGTGGTTGGAAGTAGGGGCGGAGCTGCCCCGGACCCATAGACTCCTCCTACTTTTGTCCCAAAACAAAGGCTTTTCACAATTTTTTATTCCATCCCCTAAAACTTTTAAATTACAATATTTGTATGATTTTAAAAAAAAAAAAATAGTCATACCCTAAGTTTTGATTATTTTTAAATACTCTTATTTTAAATTTGAAATCTTTATAAATCAAAAATCAACTATATTACTATGTAAATTCACAAATTTTGAACTCTAAACTTAAATAAACTATACTCCTACGTAAATTCACAAATTTTGAACTCTAAACTTACAAATTATAACTAAGCTCCATTACAAACTTAGTTCATTTGTTGGGGAAAAAGAATCAAGATACAAATAGCTCAATGAACGTAAAAGACTATTACATTGTAGTTCAATTCAAATTTTCGTTTTGTGTCACGCCTCTCAGAAAAAGTTTTCTGGCTCCGCCACTATTTAGAGGTATAATTTAACGATAAAATCTACACCTAACACCATTATAACGTATTGAATGCAAACTCCCACATCCAAATTAAACAAAAAAAAAATAAAATAAAAAAAATTGCGCGCGCACACACACGAAGTTGTACCTTCTCAGGGCTTGCAACAAAAATTCGAGAGAGGAGATGTCTACATTCCATGGAAACGCGGACATAGTCGGGAATGGAATAGTGCACACTAAGGATTCTCTGAAATAAACAAGTGGCAAAATTATTTATTTTAGTTATGCATCACTACAATAAAAAGTTCTCACAAACAGTCACATCTAACTTTTTTATTACAGTAAAAAGTTCTCACATAAAATCACATCTCAACTCGAATTCTAAACTCGAATAAGCGAAACGAACGAGGCCATTTGGTAGCTAGGAAAGGAATGACCAATTTTAATTGGTTATACCTGAAGTGTTTTTCTGAAGTTTCTTGGATCTTCCGGATCTTCAAAGGGATAAGCCCCAACCAGCATCACATATAAGGTAACCCCACAAGACCAAACATCTGCTATCTGTGATTCTCAATGACGTAAGAAAAAGAAGTGATCATGGATGTTAGGTGACCAAAGTTAGATACTAAAGTGAAAACGACCAAAAACTGCGAAAAAAAGGAAAAAAAACAAGAAAAGATACATTATTACCTTCCCATCATATTCTTTTCTTGACAAAACTTCCGGTGCAATGTAGGCAGGTGTTCCAACGGTTGATTTCGGTTGTGAATGCAGCACAGATGACTGCAAAAAATGAACCCAAAAAAATAGTTCAAGTTATTCAAATTGACATGGGATTTTTTTTTTTCTAGTGTTTGATTATGATTGACCATTAGTAAGCAACTAAGTTTATTATTGCCTTTGAGTAGCCAAAGTCGCAAATTTTAAGACGTGGCGCTGAGCTTCCATCAAGAAGTGTGTTTTCCAACTTAAGATCTCTGTGGCAAATTTGCTGTAACAAAATATTCGATGTCAAGACTTAATAAATGTCAACTCTGGTCAAGGAGAGAAAACTTATTCCGTGACATGAAATGGGAATAAGGGCAATACCATTGAATGGCAGTAACTGACCCCTGATATCAGCTGTTGAAAAAAATATCTTGCCTGATACAATATGACGAGCAAAAAAGAAAAAGAGGGTAAAGAAACTTAGATTGAAACAATAACAACTAATGAGAAATGGCAGTGATTTCAATTACCTCATCCTCACCGAATCTACCAGCATTGCATATTCTTTCAAAAAGTTCACCTCCAGCTGCATATTCCATTACAATGGCTAAATGAGTTGGAGTTAGCAAGACCTGCATAGATTGATAAATAATGACTTATAAAAAAAAAACCCTCTGTTTCCTTGTTTATATCCTAGCAATACCATTCAACATTAAATATATATTTGAGAAGTTCAAAAATACTCTCTATATTTGTCCATATTTTCTTAAAAAGAAAAATAAAAGGTCAACAATTTTAATTATTTTGAAGTTTATCACCTCTTCATGAACCCTGATAAGTTTTCACATAAATTAGTATTATTTTCATTTTAAATTTTTCTCTTTTGCTTTTTTTCCTCTTATCCTATGTAAGCCTAATAACTAATGCCAACCTATTCATGTAGAAGATTGACTTTATCTCACTTCCATGTCCAAGTCCAAGACAGATAGGAAGTAGAAAAGGAGATTGAGAGACGGGGAGAAAACAAAAATAAAAATTATTAAAAAAAATATCAGAAAGGGAAAAATAAATACCAAGAAATTAATATCCCAATAACTAACTTAAACTTTGTCCTTTCTTTTAAGTTCATATAACTTAGCAGAGCTGGCAAAGAGCAACTCAACGACAAATTTTTTTCATAATCATGTCGGCAGCTGATTTAAAATAGGAATTATTTAGCCTTCTCCTTAAAGAAGAGAAATTTAATTTAAAAATTAAATTAAATAAAAAAATTGATGTTTTGGACACAAAAACAGAATGTAAATAGTCACAAGAACAGAATTAAAGAAAGGGAATAGAATTGAAGACAAATCAAACAGTTCTACTCATATAGTAGACAAGAACTACTTTGATTCTCTGAAAAGTTCTTTCTAGTTGAAGAGAACAAATATAACCTATACACTTCTTCTATTAATTAAGCTGAAAGGCCTAAGTCTGTATTCTCTTTTGTATTTTATAAAGATATCATATTTACAAAGCTTAAAAATCTGAACTAACTACTATACCTCCTTAAATCTTATAATATTAGGATGCTTCAAAGACCTGTGGTTCATGATCTCTCTCTGTACATGCTCATCAATCTGCAAAAACAAAAGAGAATAAAACAAAGAAATAATTAAAAAAAAAAAAAAAACCAAGTCCAATCCATTCAAAAGAAATAAAAGACAAACCCCAGATGAAAAAATGAACAAACAAACAAAACCCATCTGAGATTTCTTTTAAAAAAATACTAGAAAAAAGAGTTAAAAGAATGAACTAAGTGCAAAAAAAAAAAAAAAAAAAAAAAAAAAAAAAAAAAAAAAAAAGAAAAGTGATTGAATAGAACCTTTTGGCCTCGCTCAATGAATTTGACTGCATAGAGCTCATGAACTAAGTGCAAAAAAAAAAAAAAAAAAAAAAAAAAAAAAAAAAAAAAAAAAGAAAAAAGAAAAAGGTGATTGAATAGAACCTTTTGGCCTCGCTCAATGAATTTGACTGCATAGAGCTCACCACTCCATTTTTCTCTGACCAGTTTGGCAACTCCAAAGTTTCCTGACCCAATATCTCGAAGTATCTCATAGCGTTCCATGTTTTCAAAAAACCAAACTATATTCTCTATACAACAACAATATGTGTGATATTTTCCTTCTCTCTCTTTGCTTCCTCACGAAGTCTTCTCTCTCTCTCTCTCTCTCTCTCTATTTAACTATCTACTTGCTTGCGTGAAGAATCATCTCCATGGTCATTTCAAAGCCCGATCTATCTGAATCTGCAATGCAAAAAAAGCTGTAAAAGACAGTTAAAAAAGCTTATTGGGCTAGTGATGTTATATTATTATTAGTAAGCTCATATGACAGTCACATGGACCTAGTGGACTGGCAAATTAAAAAAAGAAAATACAAAGAACAACAACGGGAACAGTGTGCCACGTGGAGATGACAGAGAAGGTTACAAAAATTCTTGCGGTTTACGAGGAGAGAAGGATAAGATGACAGAGGATAAAACGGAAAAGATGACGTGGACGGTGGAGAGAAGAGGAACAGTGAGATATGGTGGGCAATTTGAGGGTGGACCCACTTTTTCCATTGGGAATTGGCATCCTTTTTCATGTTTTGGAGCCAACAAAAATGGCAATTGCTGAGGTATTAGTTCATTGAATTCATTTTTATGTCCAAGTACATAAGGAGAAAAAAATTAAAATATTAACGGCCGAATATTCGTGTCTAACTATCCAATCAAAATGCATAAAAAGGATTTGAATAGAAATTAAATTTTTATGTGAGAAAACTATGGTAAAATAGTTTGAATTATTCCCAATAAATAGGTCAATAAATAATGCATAAAAATAGATAGATAGGTAGATTTTTTTTAATTATGTCATTAAATTAGCATATTTTGGAATTTAAAAATATGTTGTTTTATGATAGAATTGTAGTTGTGCCCTAGAGCAATTAAATTAATGTTCTAACATCATGTTTTAGTATTTGAGAAGAAAAATTACTCTCTAATGTAACATCTTTTTGTGCTAAATTTAATATTTGTTATACTCGGAGTTAAATTTGGCATTGCTAAATTTGCCAAATTTACTTTAAATATAACACATGCTAAATTTTTTATTTAATTGCTATTAGTTGACGTATTCCCTTTTTACAACATTGTGATCCTCAAAATATTTTAAAATTAAAAGTTTACTTATAAAAGTTCAAAAGTTCGATAATTACGACAAGAGTAAATAACAACATTTAAAATAGCATTATGCATTTTAAGTACAAAATAGAATAACATATCAAACATGTCATTTTCTCACTTTTAAGTGCGCAATATAGCATTTACAAATTACATTGTTATTGGCATTGAAGATGGTTTTCGAAGAATACTAGATTAAGTTTTTTCATCACTCTCTAACTTCTCTTTTACTGCATGCAATCCCACTTCTTATTATCACAAAAAATCTCATAGAATCAAACTGAATTCCTCCTTATTTTGTTTAGATTTATACTTTCCTAATATATTAGTTCCACATTAAGATCAGAGATTTTAAAAGTGGAGATTTTTTAAGGATTTGAAATCTCTCTCACTCAATTCCCTGGCTCTTCTTTTCTCTTTTACTATACAATGATAGACCCTTCAACATTATCCTTTCACTCCTAACGATCTCTAAAATTTTGTTAATTTCCCATTGACAAGTTCTCAAATTTCAGGATTCTTTTACGTGTGAGGTGGGACTATCCTAATGAGGACTCAAAATTCATTTCTGAGGATATTCATCATGCACAAAATAAAGGAGAATTAGCAATCATATTTGTCGTTTCACATAACGACAAAACTTAAATAAATACGATTGCTTTCTTAATGGGAGAAAGATTCCTTTGTTTTTTCTTTTCATTGTGGCCACGTTTAAAGTCTTTTTGTCCAATATTCCAAAAGGAAGAAAAGCTTGATTTTTATTAGGGGTGTCGAGAAAAGTATTACCTCGTATAGAGATGCCGTGGGATTTTGGCAAATGGAGGACAAATGTTTGTGGATGATAAACTACACTTGCCAACTCCAATAAATAATCTAATTCTAGGCCCGTTTAGTACTGCCTTTAATTAATTCGCTTGTGGTCCAATGTGCAAGTTGCCTCTTGGTAAGGTTCTTTTTCATCATTATATATCAACACAAATTTGGAGTTTTGGGAATAGTTCAGGTTTCATTGATTGGATCACTCAAACTTAACTCACCCTTCCCAAAACCATTCGGTTCGTTTATAACTTATGCATATTTGCTACTTCTTGAATTATGATGGTGAGGAGTTTCAAGCATGCAAAGTGAATATAAATTATAGATCATTACAGCAAAACCAAAACTGGCTAACCTACTATCTTTCTTCCTTTCAACAACTCTAATGCAAACCTAAAATAAAAAGGAGTTTTTGTTATTGGTTTCTATCCAAAAGTAGTTCTATATAAAAGGAGTTTTTGGCATAACGCTAAAGGATGACTTCTCGTGGCTCTCAGTCTTATTATTTAAGGACCGATTCTCATTATCTGCTTTGAGACTGTAATTATGTCTCTTATAGGCCTACTAATTACGGCATGGGTTGGGTTGAGTGATTTTGAACTCCTCATATGCTAGTTGATGAAAGCGTAGGCCAAGTTCATTTCTGTTCTAACTGAGGTCTCAGTAGATTGTCAAATGGCCAGTGGATCAGGAGCATGAGGACATTAATAATCTTTTTTCTTGAGCAAAAAAAAAAGCGTCTAAACTCGTGTGTTGGGCTCATCTTTGTATTCGTAAAAGACTCCTCGAAATAAAAGCTTGAGCTTACAACAAGTATGTTTGGGGTGAATTTCCGAACAACTAGTATGATTAGAAAATTTGAATGTGCTAACATCATGTCACTTATAACTTTTGAGAAGAATTATTCCATCACTCCCAATTATTTCTAAAGACTTTTCCCGATGTAATTTTATTTTTAATTATTTGTAAAGACCTTTTTCTGTAGGTTAATACGTCCGTCAAATCTCTATAAAATTATATAAAAATTAAAAAATATGTAAATTTAACAATTAAAAAAATCTGACATATTTGATATACCAAACGTATTATATCTGATCTCCGTTATTTCTAAAGAGGCCTTCACCGTATTGGCCTAGAGCAACCGTATGCCTTATTTAAACTAATATTTGACTATGAGACTAACCAATGACCATGAGCTGCCACGTACATGATGGGCCATTTTGCACTCCGCAGCAAACACCTGTGCTCACTCCATCGTTGTTATTATTATTATTATTATTATTATTTTTGCTAATCTCACTCTATTTTTATTTATTTTACTAATTTAAGTTTTTAATTTTAATTTTATTACAGTTAAAAATTTTTATATATAATCACATTTAAATTTAAATTTACAAACAAAACGAAGTCTTAACATATGTTTAAAGTAAAAATATGTATTATAATTTATAATTCATTATAATTTTTTTTTTTTATAAAAATATATATAAATTAAAAATAATTTTAAATTTATAAATCAAACGTCCTAATACGTCGAAGATCTGCCTCTAAGGCTCCAATCACACCATTTCATTCTGACACCGTCGGAAATCACAATTTCCACATAAAGCTATCACAATATAATGATAGAAAGTGTACGGAAAATAATATATTTTTGTTCAGAAAAAATAAAAAGAAAAGGAACGGTCATGATCCAATATCTCATCAAAGACCAATCACATCATCTTTTAATGACCGACTCGTTGATTCTCAGAGTCAGAGCTGAGCTAATCGTATGATTTTGATTGTCTAAAATGAAGGTGTGATGTGCCAAGTGTTTTTTTGCACTCAAATTTTGATTACATATGCGCATGATACCGACAAAAGTGTAAATATTTTTTGAAACAAAGGCTCCCATTACAATGGTCAATCGAATTAGAATATGATGACCAGATATTCTTCCCATACGAAAAAAAGATAAGCTCTTCATCATCCTGAGTAGATGCGTCAATAATGTTGGAGAGACTGATATTTATGGAAAGTTTTAAAAGCCAAAAATTTCACATGAGAAATGTAAAAGGAAGATAAGGGTGTATTTGAAACTTATTTTAAAATAATTTTATTTTTTGTATGAAAATAGAAATGAAAATGTTTTTATTTTTATTTTAAAATTATTTTTAAAAATACGTTTGGTAGTTTTATTTTGAAATTGTTTTTAAAATGAAAAAAATTAAAACTCCCTAACACCCTAACACTGATAAACTTAAACTGCCACAGAGCTTCATTAGCCAACCCTTGCTGGCAAACCAATTTCCCACCAGACTTTACTGCACCCACCGTCGCCGTCGACACCTTGGCCCCCCCACACCCTTGCCATCCTCAAACTTCACCCCCCGCTTTTGCGCCCTTGATCTTCTCACACGTCAGACCGCGTGACATAATAGAAATCTAATCTCATTAATTATTATTATTTTCATTTTGTTTTGAAATGACGATGGGTTTCGCAACCCACCACGGGCGAAGTCTCGACACCCACCAGCGAACACCGAAAAAGATTGCAAACAGTGAAGGCTCACACCCACATGCAAACATTAAGACCCACCATCGTGAATTTTAGTTTTTGAACTCTGGACCAGTGCCCGACCCGCCGCCGGGCCTCTTCGCCCTCACCGCCAATGGGTCCCACGAACATTGGGTCTTGCAGCCTACTTTTGAAGTCGAGACCCACGTAGTTCGACAGCTCGTCTCCGACCTCGAGTCCTGTTCGATTGAGGACCAGAAGCAAGCGGCCATGGAGATCAGACTCCTAGCGAAGAACAAATCCGAGAATAGGCTCAAGATCGCCAAGATCAACAATAGCATAATCTCGAGTTGACGCTTGGTGGCGGACTTGACGGGAATTTTAACAACGCCAGAATCTCGGTAACACCAGGAAAATGGGAATTTCGGGGAACGAGGAGTAGGTTGGCTCATGCTTGATGGCGAATGTCGATGGACGGTGAGCGATTATGATGGCAGACGAGAGAGAGAGAGATGAAAACGAAAATTAAAAAAGGAAAACGATAAAAAACTGTTTTCAAAAAGTAATGGAAATAAGAGAGAGCCATTTCCAATCTCACTTTCAATTCCATTAATGCACCAAATGCGGTTTAGGAATCAATTCTATTTTTGGTGCCTCGATTTTCGTGGCTTATTATGTTTTTATGTTTTAAGAGATTTTATGGTATGGTATATGGATGTGAGGCTGGATAAGCAGTAGTGCGAGGGACCGGTGCCCCAAATTAGAGAAACTATTTCTTTGAGACAACTAGAGAAAAATAATAGAGGGAAGTCTCTTGTTGATCATAAGAGAAAGAGATTCTAAAAGCCCCGCTTAGTGTTTAAAAGAAGAGAATTGGCCACAATTAGATAAGGTCATATGCAGAGAGGCTTACTTGGAACCGTACTTCTGTATCTTACCTAAACTAAGAATAAGTATGAAAGTTGTTGGCGCCGAGAATCTAGGATTAGTAATTAGCCCTGATTTTATTTATTATTCTGGTGGGGTAGTTAGGTAATTTCAGATTATTAGCTTAGGAAGTTAGTTTTTTAAGTTTTAAATAAGCTATGTTATAACAACTAGATAAGAGATTAGTTTTAGGGTTAGCTTTAAGTCAAAGGCTTCTCAAGCCTATTTATGTACGTTTTATCTCAGTTCAATAATATATCTCAGAGTTTTTCATTCAATCTGACTTTATGGTATCAGAGCCAAAAACTCTGAGACTCGTTTATGGTAAAAATAGCCATGGCGAGATCTTCACGAGGGGGAGCAGATGACTCCACATTGACCACCACTGATCCTTCTAGCCAAACACATGCGGAACGAGCCTCTATCCCGTCGTTTCAAGAAGACAATACTTCTCTCCAAATTACGGCACATAAAGTCAATGGCAGAAATTACCTTCAATGGTCCCAATCCGTTAAAATTGTGATCTATGGCAGTGGAAAATTAGGTTATATCACTAGAGAAACTAAGCCTCCAGTATAAACCGAACCAGCCTATCAAACATGGCTTGCAGAGAACTCCATCGTTCTAGCATGGTTGATCAACTTTATGGAGCCCAAGATAAGCCGCATATATATGTTCCTCTCGACTGCTAAAGCAGTCTGGGATGCTGTACAGAGGACCTATTCTGCCTTGGGCAACGCATCACAAGTATTCGGACTCCGCTCAAGAATGAAAGAGATGAAGCAAAGAACTCAAACCGTCACACAATATTTCACAGAATTGCAGAATATTTGGCAAGAACTGGATTTATTCCTTGTGGCAAATTTAGGGTGTCCAGAGTGCAGCGTGAACCAGCGACTCCTCATTGACAATGAGCGTGTATTCGACTTCCTGGCAGGCCTCAACAAAGAACTCAATGAGGTGAGAGGCCAAGTTTTAAGTAGAGAACCCTTTCCTTCCGCTGAAGAGGCTTTTTCAGACGTTTATAGAGAAGAAAGTAGGCAAAAGGTTATGATGAGTGATAGCCAATCAAATCAGCAAGGTTTGCTGAATCAAACCCCTGAAAGTTCTGCACTTGCTACAAGGGGTCCTTCACAGCAAAATAGAACAAACAGTGAGTTCAGAAATGCACGAAGAGAGAGGCCGTGGTGTGATCATTGCAATCGGTTGGGACACACAAGAGACACTTGCTGGAAAATTCATGGTAAACCAGCCAACTAGACACCAAGAAAATCGAATGAAGGAAGAGGATTCCAAGCTGCAACCTGTGGTGATAGAACAACCAGTGCTTCAACATAAGTTAAGACTGCAAACAACAATATCCAATTCAACAAGGAACAACTTGAGCATCTCTATCGTCTCCTCAACCAATCGAGTCTTCAAACACCTCAATCCAGCCCAAATGTCGGGTCCCATTTACTGGCCCAATCTGGTAACTTCCTTTCAGCCCTTAGTGCTTCCATAAAAATTAAGGAACCTTAGATCATCGATTTAGGGGCCTCAGATCATATGACAGGTGTATCTCAATTCTTTTGCTCTTATACCCCTTGTCCTGGTAATTCTAAAATAAAAATTGCAGATGGATCTTTGTCAACCATAGCTGGAATAGGATCAATTAGGGTGTTAAAACAATTAATCCTCAATTCGGTTTTAAATGTCCCTGCCTTAAAATGCAATCTTCTGTCCATAAGCAAGCTCACTAGGGATAACAATTGTGTTGCTAATTTTTCTCCATCCTCGTGTCAATTTCAGGAGCTATCACCGGGGAAGACGATTGGCAGTGCTATACTTCATGACGGACTTTATTTCCTTGAAGAAGAGAATTCCGAGTTAGGGCAAGCGCATGTGTCTAGTAAAGCATTTGTTTCCAACGTTATTCAGAAATAAAAATTTGCATTCATTTCAATGTGATGTTTGTCAACTTGCAAAACACATTCGTGTTCCATACTATCCTAGACCATATATGCCTTTTATTCCATTTGGTTTAATTCATAGTGATGTATGGGGACCCTCTAGAGTAACCACAATGTCTGAAAAGAGATGGTTTGTCACAATTATAGATGATCATACACGGGCTAGCTGGGTTTACTTGATGAAAGAAAAATCTGAAACATGTCAAATATTCAAAAACTTCCACGACATGAATCAAAACCAATTTCAAACCAAAATCCGTGTATTAAGAACTGATAATGGAAAAGAATATTTTCAGTCCATCCTAAGGGAATACTTAATCACAAATGGCATCATTCACCAAAGTTCGTGCATTGAGACACCACAACAAAATGGTGTCTCAGAAAGGAAAAATCGGCACCTCCTAGACGTGGCTCGTGCCCTCATGTTTACCATGAATATGCCTACGTACCTATGGGGTGATGCCATCCTTACTGCCACCTTTCTCATTAACCGTGTTCCCAGCCGTACCTTAAATTTCCAATCTCCAATTTCAGTTCTTACCAAGGCCTATCCACACCTCCATACCCTTAACAATCTGCCACTCAAAACCTTTGGATGTACAGCCTTTGTTCATAACCACTCTGTGAACCAGAGTAAGCTAGAACCCCGAGCCATAAAAACAATGTTTCTTGGCTACTCTCCAACACAGAAAGGATATCGATGCTATTCTCCTATAACCAGAAAATTCTATGTGTCAAGGGCTGTCACTTTCTTTGAAGACAAATCATATTTCTCACCCTCTTCGCTTTAGGGGGAGAATGGGGAAATAGAAGCTCAGTTCTGGGAAACAATTGCCTTACCAATAGAAGAAATTGTACCATCTGAAAAACTGTGTTCCCTACCAGTGTTACAACAGGAAAAATCAGTCTTAGGAACAGGGGGAGACTCGGTCAGGCACACCCAACAAGAGCTCTTGGTTTATTCTCAGAAAAAACTGAATCAAGGAAATAAGGAAAACATGAATCCTATCCACTACCAAGAAACTGAACCGGTGATAGAGACTCATTTATCTCTGAGTCCTCCAGGTAATTCAGAAAATTCTCCAAATGAAAATTCTATTTTTGACAGTCTAAATGTTCCAATTGCTCATAGAAAAGGTGTTAGGTCATGCATATTATATCCCATCGCTAAATTTGTGTCATATAACAATTTATCTCCCTCATTCCGTGCCTTTACCACAAAAATGTCTAGTATTGATATGCTCAGGTCTATAGAAGATGCTCTTGCTGATCCGGCCTGGAAAAAGGCAGTTATGGAAGAAATGCAAGCACTTGAGAAGAACGGTACTTGGAACTTGGTTGAACTCCCTTAAGGATAAAGCACCATTGGATGCAAATGGGTGTTCACGGTAAAATACAAACCAGATGGTGAGGTAGAAAGGTACAAAGCACACTTGGTAGCAAAAGGATTTACATAGACTTATGGTATAAACTACACAGAGACTTTTGCTCCAGTCGCCAAGCTCAACTCAATCCGAATGTTGCTATTTCTCGTAGCAAATTTAGACTGGCCACTGTATCAACTCGATGTGAAAAACGCTTTTTTAAATGGCGAACTAGAAGAAGAGGTGTACATGGATTTACCACCGGGATTTAATCATCACAAAAAAAAACCGAGCAGTTTACATATTAAAGAAGTCATTGTACGGCCTACAACAATCACCACGAGCATGGTTTGATCATTTTTCAAGGGTAGTTAAGGGCCATGGATATACACAGGGACAAACGGATCACACTCTGTTTGTCAAACATACACTAGATGGGTAGATCACAGTTTTAATAGTGTATGTAGATGACATAATTCTTACAGGTGACAATTCTGGAGAAATTGAGGAACTAAAGAGGATTATGGCAAAGGAATTAGAGCTCAAATATCTTGGACCACTCAGATATTTTTTGGGAATGGAGATTGCTAAGAGCCAAAATGAATTTCTGTGTCGCAAAGGAAGTATGTACTAGATTTATTAAAGGAGACAGGTATGCTTGGCTGCAAACCGGCAGAGACACCAGTGGATTCAGGAAATCAAGCAAAACTGGGTGGAGGAGATCCTGTGGACAAAGGAAGATACCAATGTTTGGTTGGTAAACTGATCTACCTCTCTCATACAAGGCTAGACATCGCGTTCGTAGTTAGTTTAGTCAGCCAATACATGCACTCACCATGTAGAGGGCATCTTGAGGCCGTGTATAGAATACTCAGGTACTTAAAGAGAACACCAGGGAAAGGACTATTCTTTAGAAAGCATGACAAGATGAAGCTTGAAGTCTTTACCGACGCTGACTGGGTAGGCTCAGTCGAAGACATGAAGTCCACATCCGGTTATTGCACCTTGTTGTGGGGGAACTTAATGACCTGGCGTAGCAAGAAACAAGCCATTGTTGCAAGAAGCAGCGCAGAAGCCGAGTATAGAGCTATGGCACACGAGATATGTGAGATTATCTGGATAAAGAGGTTGCTAGAGGAGCTAAAGGTCTAAAGTGAGTTTCCAGCATAACTTTACTGTGACAATAAAGTCACCATCAACATAGCACACAATCCGGTTCATCATGATAGGACTAAACACGTGGAAGTGGACAGACATTTTATCAAGGAAAAGTTAGAAACAAGAGTGATCAACATAGTGTATGTTCCGACTGGTCAACGAGTAGCATATATTCTCACTAAAGGGTTACCACGACAAACTTTCGAGTTTCTAACAAACAAGCTTGGACTCATCAATATCTACAGCCAAGCTTGAGGGGGAGTGTTGGCACCGAGAATCTAGCATTAGTAATTAGCCCTGATTTTATTTATTATTCTGGTGGGGTAGTTACGTAATTTCAGATTATTAGCTTAGGAAGTTAGTTAAGTTAGTTTTTTAAGTTTTAAATAAGCTATGTTATAGCCACTAGATAAGAGATTAGTTTTAGGGTTAGCTTTAAGTCAAAGGCTTCTCAAGCCTATTTATGTACGTTTTATCTCAGTGCAATAATATATCTCAGAGTTTTTCATTCAATCCGACTTTAAAAGTGTATGAACAATATTTAACAAAGAGATTTCAGCCACGGAGATTTTAGATACTTACTTTATTTGAAATCTATTTACTGAGTTTTTGATCATTAGTTTTACCTTATGATGCAGATGATGTTGTTGTTACCGAAGAGTAAAAAAATGATTTCTAAGGTTGGCTAAGTACTCCAAGTCCTACATCTCGCATCTTACTTATATGTACTTCCAAATAATAGATGGGCCTAAAATGTTTTTTTTTTTTTTTGTTACTATGTCGCTTTTGAATAACTATTTAATGTCTAAGATTTGTGGTTGTAATCATTTTGCGCACTGACTCATTTTGTTCAAAAACCTTTATGAAAATTTTGTGATGACTTCAACCACAAGTTTTCGCATCTTAAAAATGACATTGTTTTAAGTATAGAAAGTATGTTTTAAGTAGGACCACCTCGCTAAATTCGGCCTTAGACCGGTTTAGCATTGGGGGCGTTACAGGAAATTATACTTCAATCAGAATTTCGGGTTGTTTTTGGTTAGTTTGAAAAATATAAGATCTGTCAAAATCATAAGTATATATAGAACAAAAATAGAATCTACATAGGCTGTACAGAGGACTTATATTTGAACATTTCATCAAATACCTAGCATGCAGATCTTAATCTTCAAAGACCACTCTCAAATACATGAATCTTCATCCTAATAAGAGTTTATCTTCAAATAATCATCAATAATATCAAGCTAAAATCGTTAATTTCACCCAGAAACTAATATTTGAACCAAAACATCAAGAAACTCATTTTTAAGGGTCTACAACCAACATGCATGATAAGCCACATAATAAATCTGATCTCAAGTAGGATTTCAACATCTTAATCTCTAAAATCTTAGTTTCTAACATAAGAAAGAAGTTACCTTAAAGAAAAACGTGTTTCCAAGTGAATAAAAGCTCAAAACCTTGGTAGTTATTTTTGGTTCTAGGTTGAAAACGAGTTGAAATGGGCTGGTTGAGTTTTTAGCTCATTCTCTCTTGAAAACCTAGGTTTGATTCTGTGTTTTGGGCGAGAAATGGAGTGAGAAGAGAGAGGAGAATGTTATGGTTAGAGTTCTAGGCTTTTTTTGCTGAAATAGACCCAAAAATGAAGTCTAAACATGATACAGATCAAGTAAAAGTCAAGTGATCTTATCGTAGGACAAGTGTCTAGATTTTTCTAAGCCTCTAACATTTATCCTAACCTCATAAAATCAGCTCTAAAGTCTTTATTTTTTTTCTTCAATTAGGTGCCTAAAGGTCACTCAATTTGCTAACATAGCATTCTCTCATAAAAACTCAAAATAGTAACTAAGTCCTCAACACATTTACATAAAACCATATAATAAAAATACAAAATAATAATTCATGATTAAATCAATCATAATAGAGGTAAAATATCATATCAAATAATCATAATAAATATCATTTTTTCTTCATAAGTTTAACACATTGAGTTCCCACATCGAGCTAGTTGCACTGCACATTAAAACTGAAAACTCGATTAGTAAAGCTATAAGTTTAATAAAATCATATGATAGCTATAATAATAAAATATAATGCCAGCGGTGCATGATTTTAATTTATTAAATTTATTTATTATTGGCTTAAGCCTTAATTTAATCTCATGTATTAAGTTACCATTGCTCATCGCATAACTTCCGTTGTTGACAGTGACATGGTTTTGCTTCTTAGTCTCGGTTAGTATTCAACGGCCATATGACTTTATTCCACTTCTTAAGTTACCATTTTATTTTTTAATTGTTCTGATCACTGTCTCTTCATTTTTCATGCAGGGCTTATTGAGGAATATGATTCTCCGACAAGATTGCTTGAGAACAAATCATCGTCTTTTGCACAGTTCATGGCAGAGTACACCGTGAGATCAAATACAGATTTTTGAAAAAATTTCTAAAATAAGAACTGGTCTGTTGAGATAATACCCTTGACGATGATGAAAATGAATAATGTTGTGTTTTTGGTGTTGGATTAACATACTCTGCAACAGACAAGCGAAAATGCATTTCTTTTACAAAGCTTTATCAAGAATGTTCAAACCATCAAATTTAATTATTTTGATATCTAACCTATATATGACAAGTTTTGTCAGTAGCGTGTTTTGGAAAATATTTTGTCATATATATTTATGCTGATCACGATCTCTATCTGCTTGCCTGTGCATGGCTATCAACTCTACTTCTATCATTCACTGAGATGTGACAAGGTAATTTTGAAAAAAATTGAAAAAAGAACAAAGAGAAAGAGTTCAATATCAAGTTTGAAATGTTGATGTGCAGAACAAACTCAAAAAGGGGAAAAATTTTGATTGTAACTAATAGTGTTGCATTTTGGTTACGGCTAATCTAGTTAAGTTTTTATAGCCGACCTTAACTGTATGATTGTAACTAATAGTGTTGCATTTTGGTTACAGCTAAGAGTAAAAAGATTTGTTTTTGTTTAAACAATGTTACAGGGAATATCACATTTGGTAAGAATTTACCTTGTTTATCTGTTTGCTGTGTTTGCTGGGTGATAGCTGTGACATCTTTTGAACATCTGCATATGTAGAACCCTCTTGTTTTTTCTCTCTCATTTCCGAACTTGATTGAGGGGAAAGGGGAAAAACATGGAAAGAATAAAAGCACAAGGTTAGCACATATCACAATATATGCAAATTAGTTTTTGGTTGCAATTGAGAGATAATTTGATTCAACAATACTTGTTATCTCCATCACAACAAAAATCAGAAATTTGTCCAACTTGTAATTAGGTATAAGTTTAAGTTGAATCTCCAAAATATAAAAGTAAAAACAGAGTGCGGTACCCGCTAGAAACAAAGTACAATTGATCTTATTCAAAGGGAGAATAGCATTTTGAAAGGGATATATATAGATGATATTTTCAATCGGTGGTTAGTATCAAACAGTTTCAAAACCGATTCCAAACCGAATTAGATTATGATGACTAGATATTCTTCCCATACAAAAAAAGATAAGCTCTTCATCATCCTTGATGCGTCAATAATGTTGGAGAGACTGATATTTATGGAAAGTTTTAAAAGCCATAAATTTCACATGAGAAATGTAAAAGGAAGATAAGTGTTTTATATGAAAATGTATATAACATGAAAGAACTTGTGGGTAGCGAGTGTATACTATTACCGATTAAGATTTCGTTCATTTTATTGATTTGAGTTTTTAGTTTTAGGTTTTTACAGTTAAAAGCTCTCAGAAAATGTCACATCTAACTTTTTCTGCAATAGTTAAAAACTCTCCGAAAATGTCACATCTCAACTCGAATTGAAAACTCGAATCCACGAACGCGAACGAGGCGTGAGTGTTTAGGACGCTTTTAGGCGCGCATGTACGAATCGTTGCAATGAACCAAGAAAGACCTTTTCAGATTTAATCTGGACCATTGATACCATCGATTATGATCTAATGGTCAGATTTGAATATCTATATATTTAATCTAAATTGTTGATTAAATAGTTAAATCTAGAGGTGTCAATTGGGTTGGGTCGTCCATAGACGGCCGGGCCCAACTCGCTACAATGGTCAATTCAGCACTGCCCAGCCCTATACTATTGTGGGATGGCCCGGCCCGACACGCTAGAAGGGCCTGGATAGAGCCTCATGTTTGAGGCCTGCAATCCAAGCACGGCCCAGGCCCGCCAAGGCCTATGCACGCGAAGGGCCAAGCCCGCAACATGAAATTGTAATGAGGTTTGAGGCATTTTAGGGCCAACTGGCCAACCTATGTCGTCCAGTCAACCAATCATTTTCTTGTAATTATTCATATTATTTCAATAAAATCACATTTTTTTTGGGGCATATGACATATTACTTTTTTTTTTGTCATCAAATTTGAAATTATAAAAAAATCCTAAAAAAAATTGTTAATCATAAGTGAAACTCAAGTCCATTAAGAAAATTAGGTTAAGATTGAGTTTAGACATAACGCACTCAGGTTTTGTAGTTTACTTATCCTAGAATACTACATTCCTTTTTCTTTCGCTAAGGTTTTGTCCCGATCTCCTCATGAGTTTTACTTGACAAGGTTTTTAACGAGGTAGTCATTTATATGTACTTATTCGTATTATCTCAATTCAATAAAATCAAATCTTTTGGGGGCATATGATATATTTTCTTTTTTTTTAATTAAATATTGCAAAAAACAATTAAAAGGGCCAGGGACGACCCGTGAAGGGCCTGGGCCGGCCCGTGGAGGGCCTGGGCCCGGGCCCGCCCTGGCCCTTATGGACTAGGGCCGAGGGCCAGTGCTAGGCCTGAGGGTTTCTCCTCAGGCCCGACCCTAGCACGACCCTGCATTGTGCAGGGCCATGCCAAGCACGGCCCAGGCCTGGGGTTAGAAGGGCCATGCCGGCCCGGCACGACCCTTTTGACATCTCTAGTTAAATCAAACGGTCAGAATTAAATGACTATTAATTATCATATATG